TAACTCGGTGGTGATTTTGTAAGTGTAGAACATTACAGCATGATAATGATAACTAGGGATGCACCAATATGAAAACTGTGGGCCGAAGCTGATATAAAGTAATTTTTATGTACATATCAGCCAATACTGATACATTAACTCACAATAAATTAAATAACGTTCATTTCTTTGGGGTTACAAATGCATTAACATGAATAAAATGCTGGTATTTAGTGCAGTAGCCCACCAAACATTCTGGCCTTCCAAAGTACGATGAAATTTTTTGAGCAATTATCTGCCAAGACCTTTCTGGTTGCATTATGCATCCTTACTGATTAAACATATATAAATGATATTTAAAAATATATATAAAATAAATAAATATATATGAAATAATAAAATAAAATGAATAAATATATATAAAACAAGTGTATCATTCCGTTGTGCAAGTTATGACTGCATCACAGGTAACTGTTCTACTTTGGCACATACAACAACAGAGAATAAATAATTTCAATAATAGTGGTAGTAATAATAATCATTATTGTTATTATTATTAAATTAATGAAGGGAAATGAACAGAATTCAGCAAGATGAGCTGTGAAATGCTTTACAGACAGACTGGAACGAGATCGCTTTCAGGGTAAATCAGGCAATTACTGAAGTTTTGAAAAGCTGAGCTTAAATTGAGACTGTTACAGTTTTATGGCTGTATCTGTGACAATGCTGTAAAGTTGGTTTTGTATTAGACATTTATTGGATATTTGACTTTCTCTCCACAGTTTCTCATGATACACGTCTAAAATGATCACACCTACGTTTTCTCACTACTGGCAAGACGATAAATGAACTACAACCAAACATTTTTTAAAAAAGGCTGTTAAATATTGCTGATTATATTATGTTATGCTTGGTTTAGTCATTAAGGTACCATCTACAAAAGGCATGTGGAAGTTCTATTTTTCATGTATTTAACTAAAAGAACACAAAATCAATCACTTGTAGTGAAGCAAGTATCTTCTTTTAAGGTTTAAAGCAACCCACTCACTTTACTGCTACCATTTAATGTGATTTGGCGGTATTTTTGCTAAATACGAGGGAAATATATTTTGCGCTGTTTAGACCAGTGGTCTCCAACCCTGGTCCTGGAGAGCTACCTTCCTGCTGAGCCTATTTCCAACCACAATTTGCCACACCTGCTCCAGCTAATCAGCCTCTTCTCAAGTCCCTGCATGGCTGGATCAGATGTATTAGCGTTAAGTAAGGGGTGGGACGGCTTACTGGATACAGGTTAAACTCTGCAGGAAGGTAGCTCTCCAGGGCCAGGGTTGGAGACCACTGGTTTAGACAGAGTAGAGGCTGACTAGAGCGTCTGTGATCTGCGTTTCTGAAACGCTGTGTTCAGCAAAATTTAATGACAGATAATTTAAAAATGTGTTTGGTTGTAGTTTGTTCTTTCTTCTTTTTTTATGGAGAAAATGTCTATTTGATTGTTTTAAAGCATTTATTTAATGAGAAATCAAGGAGAGAAAGTTGAATATCCAGCGAATATCATGCGAAGCCACCTTTGCCACACTACTCTTTTTGGTGGAAGGAACTGCCCATATTAAAGCACGTTTAATATAATGTCCAGGGTGTCTTTGCTTTGCTTTTGTCTTTAGAACTGTCATATAAAACGTTATGTTCTTGTGAACAACATCACGGCTGTGATGATCTGCTGTACGTGCTGTCAGCTCAGGCCTACGACCAAATCAGAGCCATGATGATATTCATGATTACACAATCTCCATGTGTTCTTGCTTAAGGATTAGCTGAAGGAGAGGGCGTTATTGGGCTCTGAAGAAAGATGTTATAAGGAAGTGATATAAGGAGGGAAAATGATTGTTCTTGTTTTGTGGCCAAAACGTGGTTCTGTTGGTCGTGTGACTTTCTCTACGTTGTTGTTACCTTTGTTTGTATTTAACTCTGCAGCCATAACTGTGACCGTGTGGCTGAGCGAGGGTGGGCAATATGGGAATACCAGGGATGTAGAGAGATCATTATCATTGATATGATGTTTAGATTCGACTGATATTTCAAACCAATATTTGATGATGTATTTATTGTACTCTGGAAAAGGACAGGCGACACTGGACTGCTGTGCTAATATCTGCATTTTATCTAATAAGTGTTGTGTTACTGTAATGAGACCAGATATTGGACCAAAATTCTCATATTGTTCCACCCATAGGGGATGCATTATTGCTATTGTGATGATTACATTATGCTATGCTTTCCTGGGTTGGCAGAACTTATGGAACATCGAACTACTTTTAACCAATTATAAAGAGCCCATAAACAACTACAACCAATGTACTAACTGCATAAACTACATAATAACAAATAGATGCTTGGATGTCAACATGCTGCGCTTGTTTTTCCACCCAATTGTTTGTTTTTTTTCCTCTTTCTATTCTTCGTTAAATAGTATTTTTACAACATTGCATAAAAAAATCCTACTTATTGTTTTTCAGTAAGCTTTTTAGAGTGTATCACTGCTGTTCTTCATGTGAATTTTGTCCATCCTCCCAAAGCTCACAGAATGAAATGTCGTAATATGACTGACTGCATGCATCTGTGCATAATTGCTCTCTGTAAGTCTTTGTGTGCGTTTGATTTTTCCAGGTTTCAGGCCCGGCGCTGTGCCATGGCCTGCAGCATTCCCAAGCCAGGCCCTGGCAATGGCTACCCCATGAAAGCACAGTTGCAGATCTCAGGTATGTTTGCTTATTTATACTGCATTTGTCAATTAAACTAAAAAGACTTCCCTGCACTTCCAGCAGACACGGACCAGTGCACTATGTATAGCTATGTATAGCATCTTTTCCTGCTTTACAGAAATATCAGCCAAGCTGAAGGAGAGCAAGAAAAACTGGTTCAGCTCCAATCGTTATGTGGAGTTGACTGTGGACGGCCAGTCCAAGAAGACGGAGAAATGCACCAACACTCACAGCCCCAAGTGGAAGCAGAATCTCATTGTGTGAGTGCTAAGTAATGAACACGACCACAGACACTGTTTATGCAGTGTCATTTTTTTTTTCTGCAGTATCATACATATCTATCTATCTATCTATCTATCTATCTATCTGTCTGTATGACCTCAGTAAACAAAGAAAAAAATTAAACCTAGAACAAAACACAGAAAAACACTTTTGAAAGTCAGGACTCTGTTGCTTGAACACGTGCTCTTCCATCTAAAGTCTTTATGGTTGCCTGTTATCTTTAGAATTACCTTTAGAATTCCAGTACACTCACGATCCAAGTGTGGATGATTTACTTTTATGATAATTTATGATTGTCGTGTTATTTATGGCTTCTTTTTATCTCATCTCCCATTCTTCTTACTCAGCCACGCCTGTGACGCTGCTCTGCAGGGCAGCCCTGTGTGAGTGACGTAATTAACAGTCATTGATGATGTCGTTTGTCACTGTGTTTCCCTTGCAGGATTGTCACGCCCTTCAGTAAGCTGATCTTCCGCGTATGGAGTCACCAGACGCTGAAGTCCGACCTGCTGCTGGGCATGGCCACTCTCGACATCAGCGAAACGCTCAAGAATAACGACATGAAGCGTGAGTAACCTGCCCTGCCCTGCCCCAGACACCAGAGAGTGAAAGCAAGAGCTTCCACACACTCTAAAGGGTGTGTGAGAGTTCAGATATACTAAGGTGGCCAGCAGTTGATGTAAAACAGCTGTAAATTTAGTGTGTGGTCTCATAAACAACAAAATGAGCTCAACGAACATCCCACTGCTCAAGTAGAATGACCAAAGTCATCCTCTTTAAATTGCCGTTCCTCTTTTCATCCCCTTTGGATTAATGTTTGTGTGATAGATAGATGTCTAATATCATTATTTTAGTGTCATGATTGTGTAGAAGTATCCACTTTCACCTTCACTGTTATGCAGTGGTGCATTTGGGGAGATGCATTTACCTGCCCTTAGCAGACCTTCATATTCATAACATTTAAAGCTAACTTAAGTGATCTGTGGAGGTCTGTTGGCCTTTGTTTAAAAAACCTGAAAAACTGGGTTGGGTTAGTTTATCAGGGGACATCTGTAATCATATTTTTACGCGTCTCCTCAGTGATGAAACTCTAGCATTCAGACAGTAAAAAAGGACAAGCGAGTTTATGGAGGTTGTATTTTCTGTTAGCCCAGTTTTTGTCCCACATGTGGTCCTGTCATCACGCTCCATTCACAACATTGCACAACAGTAATACTTCCTACCTAAAACTGCAATTCTAATCACCCATTTTATGAACCTGCGGGATCTCACTTCTGTGATGGGCTTTTGTTTTTTTCTTTTTCCTACTATTCATGCTGTTGTAGTGTAGAGCGCTGGGAGAAGTCTTATCACCTAGACCAAGTAAATGAAGACTCTTCTGAAACATTCATCATTTTGTAGTTTACAACTTATAAAATGGAGCAGCAGGTATCAGAAAACCTTTTGTTTTCCCCAGTGCAAAGCGATGATCCTGAAAAATGACAGAAGTGTATCCAGAAGGGCCTAAAATTAGCAGACCATCATTGAACTTGGCAAAAGAGTAGGTGGTCTGGCCTGTCATTTTCTCAGTGGAGGAGGGGACAAAAACAAAGACGTGACCAATACGGATTAAAATAAAATTATTGAGTAGCCCTGTGAAAGAAACTTTCTCCAGGTCCTAATTAAATGTAATCAACAGGGCTTTTAAAAACCAGCATTAACCAGTGAAATATGGCTTTGGCTGTAAAATTTCTTTTTTTGGTACTGATTCATTATTGCTTATTAATTGTAAATACAATGTGCGGTCCTATGAACAAAGTGCTCAAATTACATATTTTGTTGATTTTCTGAGTTAAATTGTGCACAAATAATGCATATTTTTTTGCTGAATCTAACATATTGGGGGAAACAGTGAAAATGGGTTGTAACACGTTTTATATTTTATGTTTTTTTTTCAGTATGTTAAACTATACATGTTAATGCAAATAAATAGACATTGTGCATTGAAATTGGCAAAATACTGGTAATATTTGAGTGTGTTCTCTGTTGAGGATGTGTTAACTTATATTCACTTAGAAAATCAACAGAGCATAGCGTTTGACCAGGGGTGTTTATATAAACACCTTTAGTAATTCTGGCCACAGACTCTTCCTTTGGCTATAAGATTCTTTGGCTTTGTAGGCTGAGTGGCCAGTGCTGTTTGTGGGTATCACGAAGAAAGAAACCGGGCACTTTCTTTAGCAGTTTCGATTGTTGTTGGCTCAGTTTGTCAAATGAGGGCTCTCAGTTCCTCCTTTAAACTCTAAACTCATCTGACAACAGTCTGTGTGTGTGTGTGTGTGTGTGTGTGTGTTTGTGTACGCGCGCGCGTGTGTGTGTGTGTGTTTTTGTGTGTGTGTTTGTGTGCATGAGAGAGCGAGTGTTTTAGCCACTGAATGGTTCATTGTTTGTTCATGTGTTTGTTTTCGACGTCCTGGGAATCGTGCGTTTGTTTGTTCTTGTCCTCTGACTGGTGTCTCCCAGCGTGCTTGGTCAGCATATGTGCATGTGTGTATGAGCCTGTTTGCATTATATGTTTTAAGAGATCGGATAAGAACTCACTGTCTGACATCCGTGACGTGGACGCCGGTGTTTTATTTATTATTGTTGCTGCTGAGCTGTTTCTATGAGGAAGCAGATACTGTTACAAAGAGCACCTTCACTCTGCTGCTGATCCACTAAAATACCTCAAGTCGGACGATGTCGCTGGCTGGGCCGAGGCAGGGTTCAGGTACTCAGACCTTTTAGAACAGCATGGTTGAATGAATGGACCTGGGATTTAAACAGAAGCTTGTTGCACAGGTAATGAGGGCCATTTAACCTCAACCAGTCTGCTGTCCGGTTGACTTAGAGCTTTAGTCTTGGCTTTATGTTGCTGTTTGACTTGTATTTACAGTGTTTGCGATTGTAAATAGAATTAAGATGTTAATGCCCATGTGTACTGAGTCCCTCCCTCCTTTGTTGCTGTAGTTCCGCACATTTCTTCCTGTATTTCACAAATGTGTCCCCTGACAGTCCTAATGGGTTTAAGTGAAAGATATTTTTTTCCAATGCCGATACTGAAAGTATTGGCTGATATATATAATATATAATATACTGTATAAATTTACTATTAACTGCTAAGTTAAAAACTGTGTTGGTTGTTTTATTTAGACAGTTTTATTTAGACTCATTAACTGTGGTAAAATTACGGTAACACATAGTTTTAAAGTGTCCACAGTGCCTACTTTACTATCTGGTGTCGACCAGAATAGGATGGTTCCCCCTCTGAGTCTTGGTTCCTCTTAAGGTTTCTTCCTGTTTCTCTTAGGGAGTTTTTCCTTGCCACTGTCGCCTCTGGCTTGCTCATGGGGGCTTGGACCCGGATTTCTTTCTGTAATGTTGATTTCCTTGTAAAGCTGCTTTGTGACAACACCTGTTGTAAAAAGCACTATATAAATAAACTTTGCTTGCTTGCTTACTTTACAAAAGATCACTTCCACTACTTTGCCCAAGTGAAGCTGGACTTTTATTGATGCTTGTTCTCCACCCCACTGTACGTTTTATCCGCTAAATTCTTTCCTGATATGTTTATTGGCTAGTCTGATTTGACTGACAAATGTTGTTGACATTGTTGCTTGAGTGATTTGTTGCCTGGCGTAGCTACCTAGCCACAGTTATATACTTGTGCAGATGTTTGGATAAATTCCTGCTTGTCTTGGCCACTACCATTCCTGGTCATTCCCAAACTTAACCTTTAATTCAATATCTCTCCCAGTCCAACTTCTGCCACAAAGTAACTGCTTAAAACTCACATAACTTCATTTAATCTAAGACTGTTCAAGCAGTCTATTACTCTTCTGGAAACAGTACTTAGTAAATAACATGATTTATACCAAACCACACCTTACTCTGTTAAATAAAATTAATTAGCAGGCTACTTGTTGTTCTTATGTTAAAATTGGGCTAATCATGTGACCTATTTCACATGTTGCGCTACAAACAGCTGTCATATTTCAGGCGATTTGTTGCAGAATTGTTTTTTTTTCCTACAATATCCGGTACAGTTTCTCACGGTATTGACTGAAAAATTCACTGCAAAGCAATTTGAAGTGGTTCAAAAGTTCCTCCAAAGATACATCATCAGAGAGAGTTTTTTTCTAGACTCTTCCTTTAAGCTCTACATTTACATGCCTTTTCCTGAGGCTTGTTTTCTACAGTCTTCCACACGAACTCTGGGGCTCTGGTCTCTTAGCTGTGAGTGTGGGTGGCAGTGATCTGTCTAGGAGCAGCTCCACCCACCCCAGCCTGCAATATCACACTCATCAGGATATGAATGGCCTCTTTTAGTTGGTTTTCTCTCGTTTTGGAAAGCTTTGCGTTGGCCACTAACACTAGTAACGAGCACTGGTGAGGCTGCATAATTATTACAACACCAGCCACTTTGTGAAAAAAAAAAATAATGTGAATAAGTAGCTGATCTAAAACACATAGCAACTACATAGTGAGATGTGAAATCCCACAAGCACTCCTGATGGGGAATGCTTGTTTAATGGCATATAGTAGCAGTCAAAAGTTTGGGCACACCTGATTGTATGTTGTTGTTTTTATTTTTATTTTTTTAATAACTTTCTGAAAGCTTAAGAATAAACGCTTGATATTTGTTTGACATATCTTAGTGAAATTGATCTTAATTAGGGATTTATTTCAATGGCAAAAATTTTGCAATTGTTGTTGTTTTGATTAGGGATTGATTGGTTGATATTGGTGTCAAACAACATCGTGTTTTGTTTTTGTTTTGTTTTAGTGATTTTTATTGACAACCTTAGTTATACGAGTAGTAGTTTTAGTAGTTGAAGTATAATAAGTTTTAGGTAGTTTAAGTGTGTTAGGTTTTAAGTATAACGCTGCTGTATGAACAAAACCTTGTATCTCCATTTTTGTCCTTTTTCAGTTTTTGACATAATTTGAAAATGCCTGTTACTCTTTACATTGTGTGAAAATGTTATGGTGAATGCACTAAGAGAATGTGCCAAAAATGGCTTGGAAAAAAAGTGTTGTTTCCTTCTCCTGTAAAGTTAAGTCATTTTGGAGATATGAGGTTTTGTTCCGATGGCAGCGATAAGTATATATCATTATCATAGGTATATACTAGGCGTATCATTACCTAATGCTTCAGCCTGTTTTGAAATAGCAGTTCAAAATACATAAAAACTAAGTAAAGAGTAATTTTTCTTTCTGGAAATGCATGTTTATTTGGTTAATATTTTCAAAACCACATAAGGTTCATTTGGTGTGATTTTAAGAGAAAAAGAACAAAATGGACCAAACAAAACAAGCCATGTCATTCTTTTAGTATAGAGTAGCAGACCCCAGGAAGCATGAGTTAGTTAACTTTTAATGCAAGCTTAAATATCATCTGAAACATTGGTACTCTGATATATTTGGAAAATGTGATAATTTTTAACAATAATAGGGTCAATTGTGACAGGTCTGGACTGCTGGCAGGCCAGTTTAGCGCCCGGACTCTTCTAATACGGAGCCATGCTGTTGTAATATGTGCAGAATGTGGTTTGGCATTGTCTTGCTGAAATAAACAAGGCCTTCCCTGAAAAAGGCGTTGTGTGGATGGCAGCATATGTTGCCAAAACATGTAGATATCGGTCAGCATTAATGGTGCCGTCACAGATGCCTTGCCATGTGCACTAATGCCCCCCACACCATCATGAATACTGGCTTTTGAACTGTGCACTGATAACAAGCTGAGTGGTCTTTAGCTCGGAGGACACAGCCCCCATGATTTCCAAAAAGAATTTCAAATGATTTGTCAGACCACAGGACGCTTTTCCACTTCCTCTCAGTCCATTTTAAATGAGCTCGGGCCCAGAGAAGGTGGCAGCGTTTCTGGATCCTGTTTATGTGTGGCTTCTTCTTTGCGTTTTAGAGTTTTAATTAGCATTTGTGGATGCAGCGACGAACTACGACAAACAATAATAGGGTCTCCCACAGGTCTGAAACAAACCTGTATGGAGCACTGTGGGGTATGTTGTTTGAATATATGGATATCCAAAGCTCATAATAGCATTTGTTAACTTAATTGGGTATTTAATTAAGGCATTGAATAAGTGAATGTCAGACCTTGCTGAGCACCTCATAAACTTGGCCAAAGGTTTATGTCGTGGAAATGATTGCAGGGAGAAGGAGTGATGATTTGCCTCAGTGACACTTGGCCTTTTTTTTTTAATTGTAACATTTTCTCTTTGGAATTTGTTAAAGTGAGATGAAAAGACATGGAACAAAACTTGGGTGGCCATCAGTAAACTTGAGGGGGGCCCACCCAAGTATAGTGTATTTGTGGAAAAACTGTATAACATTCAGTTTTGAAATCTTTTGACTATATAGTAAAATTGTGAACAGTAAAACTAAAGCAGACTTTATCAGTAGTTTCACCTGAGATAAAACAAGGTTATAAAAGGCGAAAACTGATCCTAGTAGTGTATAATATGCAGCTCCGTTTGGGTGATTCTCTGTGGCTTCGTTGCAGTCAGTGATCGTGAGAGGTGATAAGGCATGTCTGCGTTTGCTAGGGGTTTTAACCAAATGGCTTTACTGCGCATGTGGTACACGCGTGGCTTTTGTCACATTTCTCCCAGCTGGTGATACCTGTTCTACCTCATTTCCATGATCCATCCGAGCTGAGAGAGCGATAAGTGCTGTTTGAACGCGTTCCAATCTGTTTTATTACTTCAGTCTGTTTGCTCTGTGGCTCCAGAGAGGGCCTGTTGATTGCACCCCAGTTTAAAAGCATTATAGCTCAAGTTTCTGACATATATTACTCTGACAAAATTTATATCCATGCAAGTGAATGCTGAGTGGCACACTGTGGTGCTCAGAGAAATCGAGCAGTGCTGAGTGTCATCGAGTGTCACCGTTAAAAGCAGTGGTTTCAAATATTAGCCTTCACTGTGTGTATAGTATAGTATGTCTGTATAGTAATGTGACGCTGTTTTCTCTCTCGTTGTTTTCTCTGCAGTGTGTGATGTGCAGCAGACGCTGCCGCTGTGTACAGACAGAGACCAGACGGACGTGGTGGGGGACCTGAGTGTGCGTCTGGATGGCATGCAGGTCGACCCGGACATGTTCGCCTCCGCTGAAGCCAATAACCAGAGTGAGTCTCTCTCTCTCGCGCTCTCTCTCTCTCTCTCTCTCTCTCTCTCTCTCTCTCTCTCTCTTTCTAGCTCTGTCTCTCTCTCTGTCTAGCTCTCTCTCTCTCTCTCTCTCTCTATCACTGATGTCTTTCATTCTCTCCCACTCTCTCTTTTTCTTTCTCTAATTTTCATTTACATTCTCATTTTCTTTGTTTATATTTTTCCCCCGAACCGATTATGATCTTTCCCTGTCTAATCAGAGACATCTGAGATTTTTGATTAATGCTTTTGTTTATTTGTTTTTTTCTGTTTTAGGCCTGTCAAACGGAGACTCACAAAATAATGAGGAAATCAGTATGAGGTAGTGGGAACTGTGGCTGTGGTGACACATTATAAGCTGCATCATCACAATAAGCATCAGATAAGCTTGATTGGAGTGAAAGCACTGACTCAGTATTGTGTATGCGTGTCTCCCAGGAGGAGTAGAGAAGGTTCCCCGACGGTGACGGATGCTCAGGAGCGACTCTCCACCCCTAACGGACGAGCTGTGAATGGAACAGGGTCTCCCTCAGCATCAGTGAGGGGGTCACGACCCTTAAGGCCCCCAAGACCCTCTAGACCCCCACCGCCTACCCCACGCAGACCAGTCTCAATGCCAGGTCTGATGATGATGATGAGTATTTTACAATGTTTTTTTTGCTTAACCTCCAGGCTGTTATTGAGTTATTCGGTAATGAGGCTTATTATATAGCTACAATTTATTCAGTAATTAGTATAAAGTGTTCAGTATTAGCAGTAGCTAAAATTATTTAGTTACTGCTCTGAAGAATTAGCAACTACTATAAAATGACACAGTAATAATTGTGAATATTCAGTAACTACTATGAATTGTTTAGTAACTATTATGAATTATGGCAACTACTACTACTTATTCAGTAGCTGCTATGAATTATTCAATTATTGTTGAATTACAAATAATTTGGCAACTACTATGAATTATTTAGTAAATATTATGAATTATTCTGTACCTGCTATGAATTATTCAGTAATTGTGAAGTTATTATGCACATTGTAGTTAGGAGATGAAGTGTGATTTAAACTGTACAGTTTTAATTATTTCTCTGCAAAATGGATAAATCTAAAGCATTAAGTCAAAACCATTGAAAGACCCAGAAAAGAGAGTAATAAGAATGTGCAGAATTAGTGTGAGCTGGTGTCGTTGAATACTTTTTGATGTAATATGTCAGACACGGTCTCTGTCCTGCATGAGGAATCGACTGGATTTTCAAAATTTGGTAAATTTCTGTGGTTTCCATGAACTTAATTATGAGTTTATAATTGGCCTTTCTGCCCCCAGCATGCACTTCTAATGGTTCAGTCCCTGATGGCGGTGACTTGGCACATGCAGAGACACCAGTGCGGAACCCTAATGCCACTACAGCAGCGGCTGTCGACTCCACCCCAGCAGTCAACCACGAACAGCCCGCGCAGCCAGCCCTCGCAGTCACGCCCGCACCCAGCAGGATGCCCGTCGCCACAGGCCCGCTACCACCAGGGTAACACACACACACACACACGCACACAGGGAGACACGAGTTGTAAATTGCTGTTTGAATAGTGCGTGTTAAAGCTAGAATTCAAATATTCCTCCAAATAAGCATTAAAAAAATATTTTGAACAAATAAAACACAGAAATGAAAGTTTTTTACATATTGATCCGTACCTGATTGTTCAGTTCATTTCGTGATTTGCAATTAAACACCTGTATAAATTTGTAAGGTTTTTATTTGTCATTAAGTATTTCCACATGCAGCTCAGTTTAGGAGTGGTCACTTCACTTAACACAAGACGCAATGTCAGTTACTTCCCTACTTTCAAACCCCACCCTTATTTACTGACACAGCATGTAAGAAACCAGTTTTAATTTCCTTGAGGATGTTTGGGAAAATGTTGTGGTCTCAGGACTTTATGACTGGCTCACTTAATTAGAAAAGTGGCTTATGTAGGAAGGTTAGTGCTCTTTGCTGTATTGTTATTTTTGTAAAAAAAGAAGGAACAATGGTTGAAGAGCAAAAAGGGAAGAATAATTTGAAAGCCAGGGTGCACTGAACCAACAGACTCCAGCTAATCTTAGCTCTGGGTTGGTGCTACAGCTGTTAATGACTTTATACTTTTTCATTGTAACATTTTGGTTCATTTGGCCTTGGAAACCTCCTTTTAAACATTTCAGTACACTCACCAGCGCAGGACGAGTGTGTGTGTGGATGTGTATTTGCATGCTGGGCAGCAGTAACATCAATAATAACAGCTTCACTCTCAGTTTGGAGGGACATTGAGTGTTCAGCCCTTCTAGCAGATCTGATTGAGGTAATGAAGGGGTTTAGCTGAAGAGATTAGAGTGTTAAAGCACTGCACTGTGTCTGTGACTGGAACTGGACATGCAGACAGAGTTAATGAAGGGCTGTGGTTGGTGGCTAATGGCTGTCTGGATCACACTAGCTGATGGGACACTGTTGTGTGTAGGTGGGAGCAGCGAGTGGACCAGAGTGGCCGCATGTATTTTGTGGACCACGTGGAGAAGCGGACAACGTGGGAAAGACCAGAGCCTCTGCCTCCAGGGTAAAGCTACACCATCCTCATGTTTACTAATTACACACGTCCAGCGGGGAGATGGTGGTCAGACTGCACGTGCACACTATAAACTGCAGGCTGCTGATCCTACTCAGACTTGTGTTTTAAAGAGAAGTCTTTTCAGTTTAATAAGGATTCTTTATAAAGTAGTACATCTTGAGCTTTTAATTTGTGCAATTGGGCTATTTTGTAGGGATGCATTGATCTGGAAATTATATTATTTTTTATGTATATATCTGCTGATGCTAATAAACCTTTGTAGACTTTGGTCCTACCTGGATTAGCATGACAGAGAAAAAATATATACTATTTATTTGTAGAGGGTTACAAACATAGCAAAACTAATTAAATGTAGGCGTTTTAGCACAGTAGCCCAGGGTCACCTGCTCCCATCGCCTGCAGTATTATTATTATTATTATTATTATTGTTATTATTATTATTGTTATTATTATTAATAGTGGTAGTAGTAGCATTAGGAGTAAGAGTAGTGTACCGTTAAAACCAATAAATTGTTCTTTACATGGTAAAAAGTTTCTTTTCTGTGATACAAAAAATAAAAAGTAGTAAATGGTTCTTTAAAGAAACTTTTTAGAAATGGTTCTATACAGCACTAATAAGGGTTCTATTGATACAGGTCATATAAGCCTTTTTTGTTGCTATATAGAACCCTTTTTGCTAAGAGTGAGCAGTAGTATCAGAGGTAGTAGTGTTTTTGTTCTTATTTTACAATTAAATTCAGGCAGCTGAATCAACACCTTCATATTTTATAGGCCCAGTAGTCTCGCTCCTATAATGTTCCTTTTTGGTGCCTGGTTGTAGGTGGGAGCGGAGAGTGGACCCTTTGGGTCGTGTTTATTTCGTGGATCACATCACCAGAACCACCACGTGGCAGCGGCCCACCATGGAGACGGTGCGTAACTACGAGCAGTGGCAGCACCAGCGCAGTCAACTGGAGGGGGCCATGCACCAGTTCAACCGCCGCTTCCTGTTAGGGGTGAGAATTGCCACACACTCCACCTCACATGCTAAAGCAGTGTTTCTGATATCATGGAGAAAAAGGTTTTGTGTGTATCTGGGCCATTCGCTTGAATGGATCTTTTACTTCTGCCCTGCAACTAAATATGCAATGCATGAGCCACAGCGTCTGTTGGTATAAGTCCAAATTGATTAAACTTTGATCCCACCTTGAAACACGCAGGGTTTTTTGGCATCCTGTCACCATTTCAAAATGGAACATATTGAAAAACATGTAGTGTGTATTTCAGGTTCTCCAGAATTATACGCTAATGAATTACATCTAGTAATGACGAGTTACATCTAGCTCATGGCATTTTAAGTCAACATGTTTGAAAAGAGAACTGACAGAGAACTAGAATTGGCTAAGTTTAAACAGCTTACAAAATAATAAGAGATAATATTTACAAGTTTTATTTTTATTTTTATTCCCTTACTGTTACAGCAGTGAATTATTATGGGGCTTTTGTAAGCTGTTATTTCATGGTAGAGTAAATTCTGCACTGTCCCTGCTGTTGGTTTCCCAAAGTGCAACATACTGTAATGGGAAGGTTCTCAGCATTGTCCGTACAGCTTCCCCGATGATTTGGATGAATTGAATGAAAACAAAATAAAACTGTTTTTGACAGGCAGCTATTGCTGATTTCCAGAGCACCTCTGCTGTTGGAAAATCACTGCTGCAAACTCAGTGCTGCTGTGTAGCACATTGGCACACATGGTGCATTTGTATTGAAGCTCAGTAAGATTTTCAAACTTTCAGAAGTTTCTGTTTATTACAGAAAAAAAAGTTTATTACAAAAAACTTTGTTGTATGACTATTTAAACTTGTGTTTCTTTTCCGGTCAAGCATTTCACTTTTTTCCTCTCTCTTCCTCCGTAAATTTTTGGCCAAAACCGATAAAACTGGCACTTTTGGTTTTGGCCAAAGATTTACGGTGAGCGACATTATGGTGCATCCCTAGTTAAAACATCTAGGGAGCGCACACTGTTTGGGGAATTTATTTGCGTTCCTCTGATGGGTGATTTGCCTCCTTGACTGCTGAAATGGTTCAGTCTTGCGGCAGGCAACGCTTTTACACAGCTACTTTTACACAGCAGGTAAAAGTGGCCCAAATCTGGTTTTCTCACCAAATCCGATTTTTTTGTTTGGCTGTTATGACATTATCTTTTAAATGTGACCTGTATGCGACATTAGTCTGAACAGTTGATCTGTCGAGTTGGATTGACGTCAAAGTCGCATGAATTCTGATCTGGCTGTTCAGACCGAGTCGCATTGCCCGCACATCGGATACGTATCGGATTTCAGTACCACATGTGAAACCGTCTCAAATCGGAATTGAAAATGTCAGATTCAATGCGTTTTTTGCTGTTCACACTGACACACAGACACACATCTGTGTCACATTTGAGGAAAAAGATGGGATTTGGGCCACTTTTACCTGCTGTGTAAACGTAGCCTTATTTTTAGTGGTTACGTGAACACTACTTAACGCGTTTCTTTACGCTGCTATTGCAAGCTTTAGTCCACACAAGAGAAACTTTGTCCACAAAAGTAGAACTGCATTAGATAAATTGTTATGTTTTGTTTTGTTTTGATGTTACAGGATCAGGCCGCTGCAGCTGCTGTTCAGAATAAGGAGTTTGACCCAATGGGCCCACTGCCGCTTGGATGGGGTATAAATGAAATGAAATTAAACATTTTTAAAATGATGACTTTTCTTAGTGTTAGTAAGGTGTAAATTGTAGATATGGCTTGTAACTTAAAGCACATACAGTGGTTCCAAAAGTATTTGGACGTTTGTGCCATACTTTAAAATGCATTAAGTTCACTGTGTTTGGAAGCAAAATGTCAAAGTGGCCTTTATTTTAAGTAGGCCCTTCTAGGACTGTTTTTTTTGTTGTTTTTTGTTTTTTTGCTGGTGCTGGTGAGTTTCCGATTATTATGGTTTGAGCAGTTTATTTGCAGATATCTGACCGTTTTAACCCAGAATGTCCTTTAGTCCTTTAGAATTCATGATCCCAAGTACAGCATTGTAAGATAAACTGCCCGCACACCTCTGTGCTTTATAGTACCCTTAGTGCAGTCTGGTTGGAGGTCTTCTGCAGGCTTTCTCCACACAAAGAGATTACCGTTAGTTTAATGTTGTGCAAAAAATGTCATTCTCATAAACAAATATCATTTGTCAAACATTTTATAAAATAATCATGAATTTCATTACAGTTGACCAATGATTAAAGTGTGCAAATACTTTTCGGGGCTACTGTACCATCACTGCCTTATATTTGAAAGCAGCAGTATGACTATTTCATAAGAGGGTAGGACTTTTGTGGGTGAATCACACACTGTTTTCTTTTCTCTTACTCATTCTCTGTTCTCGCTCTCTCTTCTCGTGCCTAATTTCTCAGAGAAGAGAACAGATGCCAATGGCAGAGTATATTTTGTGCACCACCCTACTCGCTCCACTCAGTGGGAGGACCCTCGCACTCAAGGGTCAGACATTTATATTTTGTGTATTTCGTTTATGTCCATTTATGTCATATTTTACGTTGTATGAACATTTCAGTGGTTGACATTAAAACCATTAACCATTAAAAAGTAATATTGAATGATTCTAAAATTTGAGAAATTCTACCGCCGCCCTGCAGGCTGCTGAATGAGAAGCCGTTGCCGGAGGGCTGGGAGATGAGGTTCACTGTGGACGGAATCCCGTACTTTGTGGATCACAACAGAAGAACCACCACCTACATTGACCCGCGAACAGGAAAATCATCACTGTGAGCCTCAATTATGCATATATGCACATCATATAGAATGTTTGGAACTGTATGGATATCTAACAAAAACTTCCATCAGAAGAGGTTTTTCTTACCTCATATAAAATTAGCATTCCAGAGAAATTAGGTCAGTGATGTTATGTAGTTTCTTCAGATCCAGTTCTAAATTTCAACATGTTTACATGCATACTCGTATTTGGATTCATATATAGTAGTCATGGCACTAACCCAGGTCCATTTCTACGCCTTTAATGTTGGCCATAATTGTAAATATACCTCTTTAGTAATGCTAGTTTTGGGATTTTAGTAATATGTGTGCGCTAAGGAAATAGTGATTCACGTTTTAGATTAAACAAGGATATTTGAAGCTTGTAAAAGACATTCCATATTTTACTTGAAGCTTATAACAGAGATATTAACATAGGTTTTACGTTGCATTTATCTGTAAAGAGTTATAGAGCTGCTGCCGCTGTTTTCCAATTCTAACATCTGACAGAAATCTGGTTAGACTAGTGACGTATCTAGAACTTTCCGAAGCCCTAAAATGGCATTTTTGTCTTACAAAATTGCTCCCTCGCGTTGAAAATCAAAACACGATTGGCTGATTACTCTGTTAGTACCTAGTTTTGTTGTTAATTCTAATGTGTAAGACTTTCAGTTCTTCTCATAAAGTCCTAACAAATGGGAGAGCTCACATGGCTTTGTTTACCTAGATACCACAGAGAACAAAATCCAAGAAACCTCTATAACAAGAGATTGGGCATTTCAAGACTGTAACCCTTTCATTTCCAAAGAAAACTTAACAATTGGAGTATTTCTACAATACAAACTTCATAATTATATTAATTAAAAATGAACTAAAAATTACAGGCATGTATTTGTTTATATCACAAAAATCATTGGACCTAAAAGACCCTGTAGCACGTTTAATCCTAAAATATCACTCACTTACACTGTGTGATGTGATGTTAGCTGTGTAGTCCTTCCTGTGGGTTTAACAGAGAGGTTGAGTAGTTTCATCATGATGGTCTACTTTTGGATGATTATCTTAAGTGAAGTGCTTCAGTTAAAAATAGTTCATTTTAAAGCTTATTCGTTTTTAAAGAATAAGTGTCAGTCGATACTCTAAGTTTCAGTATTGGGAAAGAAAAAAGTGGAATCGTACCAACTCTATTATTTAGTCAAAAGGAGCAAATAAATTTCCAAAATGTCGAATTTGTTTATAATGATATTCCCACAAGTCGGCAGCGTAGACCAGCTGTAGGATCACTGGCCAGCTTGGCTCTGCATGCATTGTCTCAGAAATGATCTGTTTACACTGCTGCCCTTAAATACCACCATAGCTGATTCACCCTTACGTTTCGCCTGGAATGTGTTTGGCTCAAGGTCATGCACACATTAGGCTCAGTTATTACTTTCCGTTGACTCAGGTTATGACTATGTACAGTGAACGCAGTTCCATTAAACAGATACTGCTTCTCTGTTGTCGTCATTTGCATGACAAGATAAACCTGTTTCTTGGCGTTTTCAGAGGATCGGTGATGTTTGCCTTAGTTTCTTTATGAGTCAATACAAGGAATTAGTCCATTCACATTTGCGCTTCAGCCTCTCACAGTGTACTTATGGATTCAAATTAATCTGCAGTTTCACGGAAACTGGAAACAGGTTGTCAAGCCTAAAACACCTAATGGTTTTTACTGATGGTTTTGGCCTGGTCAAAGTACAGATGTAAACCCTATAGAGAATGTTTGTTTCAGCTCACATTAAACACAAACTAGGCAATGTTTATCAAACGATTGAAGCCGTCAGTGCTGAGTGGAACTCTGAGTGACTCTTCTTTCTGTAAAAGGCTGTCTAAGTTTACACCCAACACTTCAACTTTTAAAGAAATCAAAGGGGAAAGCTCTCCCATACTTATTTTATCTATTTGTTTAATTATTTCTAATTTATTGACTAATAATTTCTTGTTGGGACTATTAAATGCTTTTGCCTTTTTATCTCTCTGATTTTTTATTTTATTTATTTATTTATTTTTTGTGTCTGGGAGTATACTTAATCATTTATTTTTTCTTCCTTTTCTTCGCTCAGTGAAAATGGCCCTCAGATCACTTATGTGCGAGACTTCAAAGCCAAAGTACATTACTTCAGATTCTGGTGTCAGGTATGTATTCCATAAAAAAGTGTGAAAGTTGTCATAATTTCTTCTTTTTTTCTCGTACTCAGTGTATTGGAAGTCAACCTGAAATCAAAACTGTCAGAGCAGGCACAATTCATCATACCATACCATTTAAAGGGCCCATATCTCACATGTTCCTTATATTTTTTTCCGCATTTTTCCACTTATGACATTTGTGTAGATTTATGTACTAAAAATGATCATAATCCATTTTTACATGACCGTTTTTCAGCCTCCCTTAATCAGTTGGTATTGTCACTGTGCCTTTTAGAGTGATTTATAGAAATGATCTCTGTTCTGATTGGCTGTCCAGTGTTGTTCCTTATTCAAAAAGCAGTCTGGCCTAAAACACTCCTTATAACTTTAGTGAGAATGGGCAGAGCTAAAGTGCTGTAGGCTGAAGGCAGAAACATATAAATGAGTTAGTTCTTAGTGACATCAAAGAAACGATTCATTCAAAGACTGTTTTTGCAGGTTAGTTTCCATTAGTGGACTGTACAGACTGTATTTTTGAAACTACTGTGTTTACATATTACATTAGACTCTGTTATTTTAAAAACAAATGACTTTCCATGATGTGGGCCCTTTAAAAAACACACTTTCAAAAGTTTTCTTTAAACTACAGTGACGTTTTCCTGCCTCCAAAACATCTGAGATTTTGTTACTCACTGTGCACTAGTGGGTGGGGAAAATAATATTAACCAATAATCTCATTTTCCACCACCCCCACCTATCATTAAGAGAAAATGCCTAGGTAGTACAGAGATACTGTGTTTCATGCTGAAATTCTTCTCAATGCAGAAGAATAATGCATTATGATGTTCCACTCACCATTTATGTTGAATTTAAAGGCCAAAAATCTTTATTGCTTTTCTTATTTTACCTAAAAATATTATAGCACACATTTTTTTCTCTTCTGTTGTAGCAATTAGCTTTGCCGCAGCACATCAAGATCACAGTTAGCCGTAAAACACTGTTTGAGGACTCCTTCCAGCAGGTGAGTTCAAACCACAAAGCATTCATCTCATCTGGCTGATTTTAAACTAGATTTCTGGTATTATTATTTTTTTTATTATTATTATTCTCACCCCCACCCCCCCTTAAGTCTGTACACCGAGAATTGGGTCCTATTTTTGTGAACCTGATTTACATGTTTACCCACCTTCAGCAAATGTATGCCAGCTTGTTGTTTAAACGTGTGATCTGTTTTAAAATGTAACTGAAACTGAAATTGTGTTAGGGGTATTCCTTTTTGAATTTGTAAGTAAGTAAAATAAATAAGTTTTTATGGCCTACATGTGTGGCTATATTGATTAACAGGAACTGTGCATTTTTACATTTCTTTGTCCAGATAATGAGCTTTAGTGCCCAAGACCTTCGCCGCAGACTGTGGATCATCTTCCCTGGGGAGGAGGGACTAGACTACGGTGGCGTAGCAAGGCAAGATCTCAATCAGAAATCTCCATCAAACATTACTTTCAAGATAAGTTAGTGCCTGTTCTGCCTGAACAGATTAAAGTATGTCAGCCACCGTTGTAAATTCAGTCTGGCATTTTGCATAAAGAATCGGTCAGTCTTGTTCTAAACAATTGTACTTGTATGCAAAACTTTGGGCGTCCCTGGTCAGAAGACATGTTTTGTTGATTTTCTAAGTAAAATAAGTGAACACGTCCTCTACAGAGAAACACATTTCTGCACATTTTAAAGCACAATTACTGTTGATTTAGCAAATTTTAACATATAGTAAAAAAAATAACATAAAATGTGGCCTGTGCAAAAATTATAGTAAAAATATAGTAAAAATATTTTATTATTTATTTTTTGTCAATACTTTAAACTCAGCAAATAAATAGAAACAGTTCAGTCAAACCTTTGCAATAACTTAAGCTGACTTTCAAGGATGTAAATCTAGAAATTCAGTGCCTCAAGGAATCTGACATTCTGCCATGAATCAAAATCATTTCATTACATTTTATTTACACAGTAGCGTTTAGCCATTAAAAACGATACTCCAATGCTAAGTTGTTTTTTTTTTTTGTTTTAAAGCCCATGGTGTGTTTAATTTGGCCCAAAAAATAATACATCCTTCACTGAACGCTAATTATAAAATTTCAAAATCAATGCAGTTAAGTCGCCTCTTTCAGATCAAAAAGTTAAAGTGTGTGGCTGCATTTTTAAACACAAACTCATTTTGAGTACGTTTTTTAGTTTTAAGATTGAATTATGGAGAAATTCTGAAAAATCTGTGGAATTGCCCTTTAAAATTGACATTTAGGTTGGGGGGACAGGATGTTTTCCAAACAATAAAGCCTGTGCGATTTTCAGTGAGAGATGTAGCAACTAGGTATTGGGTCGTATAGTTTGTGTTACAGCACTTACTAAAACTTACTAAATGTCAGTTGCAGTATTTCTTACTGCTGCCTCACTAAGCTCGATTTTGTTCTTCAGGGATGTGAACTTGTCTGTCAGCCACTGGGTCATCAGCATGTTAATTTTCTTCCTTAATTTTTTTTTTAAAGAACCAATGCGTTCTGAACTTTGCCCCACCACTTTTGACTTTTGGATATGTGGCGCCACCCCTGGATATAGTGTGTAACTGAACATCTCTTTCTTTTAGGGAGTGGTTCTTCCTGCTGTCCCATGAGGTGCTAAATCCCATGTACTGCCTGTTTGAGTATGCGGGAAAGGATAACTACTGCCTGCAGATCAATCCAGCCTCGTACATCAACCCAGACCATCTCAAATACTTCAAATTCATCGGCCGCTTCATTGCTATGGTAACTCGGACTCACCTCGAGGGTTTAATTGTACTCTTATGCTTAAGAGGGCTGTTTTGAAAAGTCTACATAAAGATGATGTAATGTTTGTAATAATTCAGATATTGTAGCCTAACATATTATCCCTCAATGAGTCTTGTATCTTTCACATATCATCCATAAATTGATGAAATTTAAAGGGCCAATTTCATGGCAAATCAAGTTTTCCTCACTTTTTTTAAACAAAAGAGTTTTATGTATTATGTAAACATTGTTAAAGTTCCAAACGTTCAGCCCCCCCCCAGTCCATTCAGTCCATATAAGCTGCAACAGCAGCTGTTTTCACTTTTTTGTGATGTCACAGAAAACAGTGTGTTTACATGTATCAGCTTACAGCAGTGTTATGGAGGATTTTAGCCCTCATTTCTTTTAGAATGAGCTACAGTACAGAACAGTCAATCAGAACCGAGCTCATTTACATAAATCTTAAAGGCACAGTAAGGCACAGCCTGTTTAGTTCTAAGGGATAACGAGAAGTTGTAAAATGTAACAATTACTAATTAGCCACTCCTGTCTCTATAATTTATACCGAGGTTTCTTACTCCATGTAAATCAGTCTTAAATGTAATAGACGTCCTCTGATAGAATGACGTTACCCCACCTCTCCATGTGAACCTTATTCAATTCCAGATAATACTTTCAATTGAGTTTTCCATTGTTCCCAAATATTGTTTAGTCATTTGTGTTTCTCTTGGGTTCCCTCAGGCCTTGTTCCATGGGAAGTTCATTGATACTGGCTTCTCGCTGCCTTTCTATAAGCGCATCCTCAACAAACCTTTGGCCCTTAAAGACCTGGAGTCCATCGACCCAGAGTTCTACAACTCTCTGATCTGGATCAAGTAAGTTTCACTGCTTTGGTCTGTGACCAGTTAATCAATCACACACCCACAGCAGTAATAACCACACATTAGGTCCAACCAATAAGGCCCGAAACGTGATAACTCTAACATGGTTAAGGCACATGGACCTGCATACATGGGCATTTGTGGGTGCACACTTGTTCACTCTTATGCTTGTGTGTTTCCACACAGGGAGAACAACATTGAGGAGTGTGGTCTGGAGATGTTTTTCTCTGTGGATAAGGACATCCTGGGGGAGATCACCACTCATGACCTGAAACCAGATGGAGGCAACATTCAGGTGACGGAGGAGAACAAGGAGGAGTATATCAGGTAGACACACATCTCATGAGCCTTGGTCTGGGCTGATGTGTGAGGCTGGACACACACTCTTACTTCCCCTCAGATTAGACACACACATCTCAGGACTCTTAAACCTGTGGATGAGCATTTTAACTTGATCCTATTTGAAAATCCACATTTTTAAATGAGTAGTATCTGAATAGTTGAGTAAATTTTGATATTATTATGAATGTCAAGGACAGTATCACAGATACGCAGCATCATCTTTAAGAAGCACTAAAAGCTCCTTGTGTGCTAATAGCTCCCCTTGCTTGATTGTTTAGATGTTAGATACTTGATAATTAGTGAGCTAGTTAGTTAATAGGTTAATTATTTAGTTTGTTACTTTGTTATTTATTTATTTAGTTTTGTTTTTTTTTCTTAGCTATACTCAATTGATTGGTAGATTGTTAGAAAACGATAGTTTTTAGATTGTTGTATAGTTACTTTCATGTTTATTTAGTTAGTTACCTACCTGATTACTTAGTTAGTGACATGGTTATGTAAATATTTGGCCAGTTAATTACTTAGTTTGTTTGTTTTTTTGTTACTTGGTTATATAGATGAATGGCCATTTATGTACTTAGTTAATTGATTTAGTTTCGTTATATAGTTAGTTACTTGGTTATTTAGTTAGATGCCTCATTGTTAAGTTAGTGACATGAGTAATTAGTTATTTTACTAGTTAGTTAGTTGGTTGGTTAGTTAGCTTGTTACATGGTCATTTATTTAGTTCACATCTGATAACAAAAACACACGTTTAACATTTGTTTATTGTGTGTAGTTAGCATGAGGTTGTTGATTTAGTGATTTATCCTTGTGTTTGAAAGTATATGTGACTTGGTTAGTTGACCAACAGAACACTCTCTCTCTCTCCCTCTCTCCCTCTCTCTCTCTCTCTCCTCTCTCTCTCTCTCGCTCTCTCTCTCTCTCTCTCTCTCTCTCACACTGTGCAAATTTGTTTGAAACATTTCCATATTGTGAAAAAAGTGGGTCACTGGGGGTGTCACTGATTCACATATCCACCCCCCGACCCCCCTGTGCTTGTAGATGTGAATGAAGGGGAGCAACTAATGTTCTCTCTGTGTCTCTCTCCCCTGCAGGCTGGTGGCTGAGTGGAGGCTGTTGCGCGGTGTGGAGGAGCAGACGCAGGCCTTCTTTGAGGGCTTCAACGAGGTCCTGCCTCAGCAGTACCTGCAGTACTTTGATGCCAAAGAGCTTGAGGTACCACCCCCTAATTCTCTGTAGAATGCAACTGCATGGTCTCTCTGCATCTCCTCTGTGATGAGAGGGTTAATGGGTAAAGCACTGTATGTAACGATTAATGACTATGCACATCCACAGATGTGGGCACTCTTACAAAGGGCATCAATAAGTATTACTGGCCGTGATACTGACTCTGTGTGCAGCCGTTTGATTAACGCAGGCAAACACATCCTTTAGGTTAACAGACTGTACTGTTAACACCGAGAGATTTGATCTGGGCTCTCTGTGTTGCTCTGCTGTAGGTGTTGCTGTGTGGAATGCAGGAGATTGATCTGGCTGACTGGCAGAGAAACACCATCTACAGACACTACGCTCGGAACAGCAAGCAAATCGTCTGGTTCTGGCAGGTACGTTTCCACTCATCTTTTTAAAGCCAGTATTCCACTTGTTTAGTTTACATTGAGTTATGCAAAGGCCATGTTCACCATTATACAGCAGTGCGTCTAATGTTTTATTTAAAGTGCAAAACTAGCTTCAAAAATCTTAACAATAAATACAACACAGTAAATACTAGAAACACACCAAGAAATTTCACCTGAAAATCAAAAATGGTATTTTGTTTTTTTTGTTTTTTTGCTGAAAGAGAAAATTTTGACCAACAGGGAATTCCACAATTTTTCAGGCCAGTCATTCAGTGTTGTGATATGAAATGGTTAATTATAGAGAAACTTTCACACTCAGATTTCTTTACAGTGGTGGTGATGGGAACCAGGGGTCACCATGTCTACAACACAAATATAACCATTTATTTACTGTCCAAAATGATCAGTGAACCTACATGTGTCTTCTGAGTTTTTGTATGAAATGTTGATGATGGTAAAATAGTGGAAAATATGAAAAAATAATTTTCTTTGGGGACTATTTTGCTTTACAATGACCTGCATGTTTTACTCCACCATGAATGGATTTAAAAATATGTATATTACACTAAATCTTTATCTCAAATCTCTCATAAAACAACGTCTCAGACATCAGGCAGTGTATTCATAACCATTTCATGTAATAGATTTCAGTGAGCTTTCAGAGGCATCAGACTCATCAGATGTCTGGTTCCTATCACCAGCACTGTGAACATTTCACATCAAACCACTCTGAATGGTTTGATTTAAACTTTTAAATAAAGGTTTCTCACACTCTCATATCTCAGTTACAAACATGGTACTAAAAAACATCCATTTTTTAGGGAGCAAAGTGGTTCTTCTGTCATCACTCAAGAAAACCAAAAATAAATATAAAAATTAGATTTTTAAATAAAATACAATTTTCTTATGGATCATGAATTTTTTATAAATAAAATAAAGAAAATTCATGATCCATGCATTCCTGGTGCACATTATATCTAAACCGTGATGCAGTCTAACATTAGCCCTTTACAAGTAGCTGTGTAATATCACTCCAGCAATCTAACTAACAGTCCTTCATCAGACACAACCATCTCTAACTTCTCCTTCTCTTGTGCTGCAGTTGGTGAAGGAGATGGACAATGAGAAGCGCATGCGCCTGCTGCAGTTCGTCACCGGGACGTGCCGTCTGCCCGTGGGGGGCTTTGCTGACCTCATGGGTAAGACACAGCACAGTTAATGTCCTATTTATCACAGGACGAGAGCGGACTGAGGGACAGTTACTTCTTTTGTCATTCTATATTTGTGCTATCGTGTTATTGTTATTTGTGAGTGCGGTTACATGAAGCTATATGAGCTGTGAAGTTTGCTGTTAATCACCATTTGGCTTAGCATGAGCCAGTGTAGCACGTAGTCCACACAGCATATTATCTGAGGTGGGTGACTACAGCTGTGTGTCTTTATAGGGAGCAATGGGCCACAGAAGTTCTGCATTGAGAAAACCGGGAAGGAGAACTGGCTGCCCAGGAGCCACACCTGGTGAGTGCATTCAGTCACCCTATAACACTGTCTGTATTCAGTAGTCCAGGCCTTGCATTTGCATCCGTATGACCTAATGCACTAATAGCAGAGGCATTCAGCTCGATAGTTTATTCTGTACCAGCTCACTGCGACCCTGAGTAAACAGTTTAGTATTCTTCAGCTACGCATAGTGTAAAAATGCATTACAATGCATTCATCTAAAGGTGACGATCTAACTGCATTGATTTTGAGTATCAGTCAATATAAAACTTATAAAATATTCAGTGTGTTTGTTCAGTATAACTCAGTATTCAAGTATGTTTTAATTTTTTTGGCCAAAATAAAATTCTAGGCCAATTTTAAAACACAGAAATGCAAAAAAACAAAAAGGCCACATGTATTGGTTTCATCTGTATTTGAATAGCTCATCCAGTCAATGTATATTTTTGTAAAGTAATTCCGAAACACAGCAAAATCTAATCATTTCATGTATTGAATCGTTTTCTAAAAATCATCATCAAATTGTTGTCATAGATTTACACCCCTTTATGTGTTAAACACAAGACCAGATCAGCCTTGCGAGCCTTATGTTTCACACATGAACTATAGACAGTATTATTGTTCATATTATCGCCCATTAAAAAAACTGTACTCTGACACAATCCTATCCAGCCAGCAAAGTTATTTAATTTTTCTATTAAAGGCCTGTTTCACAGTGCACTGCACTACAACCCCCAGCATGCACTCTCACCCTTCTCTTATAAATTGGCCACAGGGTGGGGTTACATAATTTCCTGCATTATCCACTGAGAGCCAGACATGTTGAGCTTGAAAGAAAGAATTCTTAGAAAGAAACATTCTCCTCTGTGTGAAAACAGACTGTCCTTCCATCACATCGACTCCCACATTTGTACTTGGTGCTTTTCCCTCTCCAGTAGTGGCAGGTTGTGTCTGATTCTGGCCTGTGGACAGGTTCTTTCCTACTGTTGAACACACACAGGCAATTAGGTGACAAAATCACAGCCTGAGTGCAAACATAACCCTGTGTTCACACCGACAGTGACTTTGCAACTCTTGTCACCCAAACACCGTGACCGTGGCGGGACATGGTTTCACTGACGCCAAGAACGAATCAGATGTCTTCCCGCTAAAAATAAAAATCCTGGAGAGGAATTGCTTGTCTGTAAATGGAATCCCTGTAAAATGCACCCTTTTTATGCAGTCAGTATGTGAAGAAAGCAGTGCTTGGTCTTTGTGAACGCTGCCATCTATTTGCGCTGAAAGCTCTGCCGCCACTCCTCTGTCTGTGGCCCTATAAAATCACCAGCTCTCATTGAAAATGAACGTCCTCCGCCCACTTTGTAGCATCGCTGCCAGTTGTGAATGCTGGGTTATATTGTTGGTCAGAATGTCGACATCCTAACAGTAAACATTGTACATATTTTTTGCAAAGTAACATGAAAGACAAGAACTGTGCATGTTTAACTGTGCTCTCATTTCTCTCTGCTGCAGTTTTAACCGACTGGATCTGCCACCTTATAAAAGCTACGAGCAGCTGAAGGAGAAGCTGCTGTTTGCTATCGAGGAGACGGAGGGCTTCGGGCAGGAGTGACGTGCTGAACCGCGGTTGGATGGACAGGCAGCGAGAAATGCCTTATGGAAGATTACGCATATATACATACACACTGGATATGATGCCACGATGCAGCACTTTGTGTGTGTGTGTGTGTGTGTGTCTATGTGTGCGTGCGTGTGTGTGTGTGTGTGTGTGTGTGTGTCTAAGGACCCCCATGCCTTGGCTGTCTGGCACACAGCAGGTGATCAGAAAGAACAGTGGATTTTGCACTCTACCAAATCCTATTCCGATTCTGTACCTATTGGGTAAACCTGTAAGGATGTGCTTTTTCTAGACCACTACTCTACATCAGAGCCCCTTTGAAGTGCACTTTCCCTCAGCTCCTCTCAAAAATCTTTTAAAAAAACAATTTGCACATAACCAACACCCCTTGTAAGCTAGAAATGATGCCAAAAATGTACCTTTAATGTATTCAAATGAACTGAGAATCCTACTTTGAGTGGAAATGTCACAGACATTGAAAAAAAAAAACAATATTCTAGATTTACTTTAAAGAAACATGTACATCATTTCCATGTAAATTAAAGGAATAGTTTGCTGAAAAATCAAATTAACATGATGTTTACCCCAAATGCAGTCCATCAGCTAAGACGCGCCAGGCTAGGGGTGCTAATAAACACTGGAAGTAAATAGTCACCAAAACTTTTCACAAATACATCCCGAAGTCTTCATATTTTTGCTTTGAATTACATCAGTAAGCTACGTATGCAAATTTAATAAAATGGCATGGACAGACCTTTTTTTCCACATTTGTACCTACGTTACTCTACGATGTCCTAAGCACTGTCTGTGATCTTCTTGCAGGGATCGATACCAAACTGTGGTCAGGAAAGGAGTGATTCCAGTTTTCCTAAATTGCTGGCCCTTCTTTTAGCAACACGTAGAGGCTTTCTTCATTTTTATAGTTCATAGTGAGTCATTCTGTGTTGTAAACTACATCGACTCACCTGCACTACCTTAATTAAGACGCAGTTTAAGCAGGTTAAGAGAAGTTTTTTGGGCATGTATTAATGGAAACGGTTTGAGGGTCCATTGACTTCCAGTATTTGTTAGCGATCTTAGCCTCGTAGCTCCTATTCTAAACTAAAGAAGCACAATTTTAACACCAAACGTTGACTGACTGACTGCATTTGGTGTAAATGGAAAATCATATATTTGATTTGTCACCAAACTATTCCTTTAAATATATTCATCTACTGTCTTTCAGTAAACTTGCTTTTGGCAACAACAGTGTAGATGTAATGTATTTTATTTATGTGGAAACCATGTACACATTTGGAGAAAGTCAATTCAAAGCACTGTCTCAGTGTCTTACTCTAGCTGACATCTAAAATCTTTATATGCTTTTTCTTGTAATTTTCTTGTAATGGTTATTACAAGGTTATTACACCTGTGACACAGGTTCAAACCAGTTGTCTATAACATAGTCCATTTGGAAAGAATTTCTGTCTCTACTGAGCGAGTATACCATGCTCTAAAGGCATGCTAGTTCTTGGTAAATCAGATTGCCTAGCAGCTGAAGGAAGACGAGCAAAGCATGCACTAGGTGAACTCGTCCTTGTAGCACGTGGACGCTGGAGAGCACAGAACCGCCTTCTTCCAGGTTGTTTAATTCCTGGACAGGTGCTTGTCCAACCAGCTGAACTTCAGCTTTGTTTAAAAGAATCTGAACGTTGAAACTTTTAACAAATATCTTGAAAGAACATTTTTTTCTCTGTCTTTATTCTAGTATTGTAGCTCAGATTTAACACTGTGTCCATCATCTAAAGCAAAGTGAGCTGGTTTTATTGAAACATGGTGCCCCATTTAAACGAGGCCTTCCTTTGTTCTGACTGTACAGTGACAGTCGGACTCTAAAGGTGTGTTACACCCTTTTTCAGCCTAGTTTCTATCTGCTGTATCTGTAGCATAGCATGTCTGTTAGCATTGAGAAACATACATAGAAAAGAACAGGAAACTCATTGACTCAAAACCGGCTTCTGATGGAAGCCTATGGGCAGATGCTGAAGCAAACGCCACTGCCCACTGGCGTCTATTGTAAACATGATTTGAGTCAACAGGTTTTCTGTTCTTTTTCAGGGAAATCATCGCCGATGCTAATCGACCATACACTGCGAATGCAGCAGGTAGACATTAAGCTGAAAAACGCTTAAGAGTACTCCTTGGAAGTGCTTAAGTTTTCAATACCAGTTTCAAACAGCTGAAACGTCCCCAGTAAAACCTGCATCAGCATTATATTAACACACACATGTAGCCGACGCCGTGTACAGCTTGCCTTCTCCAGTGTGATCAGCACAACCTTAAGACCCACGGCCCAGTATTTATTGCGGATATGAGTGAGTGAGAACTGTCTGTGTTCCTAACGCCCTAGTTTTATAGGGTAAGATTGCTTTGTATATTCTGGAGCAAGACCTTTGTGTCCAGGGTATTACCTTTCCATGCCTCTCAACTTAACTGAGGTGATAGTAGTCAAAACCACTGGGGGGTGCTGTTGAGCCCTAAAAAAGTGTCGTATTCACAGAGCTCATAGCGTGGACATACTGCTTTCTAACTCTGTCTGGCTTTGTAAGCACATGCTAAAGGAATACTCCAGATTATTTATCTGTGGCATCAGTTGATTAACTGTGGACAGCCTTTTGGACATTACTGAATATGTGTTGACTTGAAACTGGCTTATAACAGAGGCCAAAGGGCACTTGATGAACTTTGCGATTAAACATTTGAAATCTGTGATTATGTAACACAAAAGTACAACTGCTGCACTCTGACAGTACAGGTCTAAAGGCACGGTCACACCACTGCCTCGCCGTTTTCATCACTAAGGCAGTGCAAGAGTCACGCCAGTTTGGGCAGTGATGTGGTTTTTTGAAGGAACATAGTTTGGTGAAATACTGCTTGTTTTTTTTTTTTGTTTTTTTTTCGTTTTTGTTAGTATGTTTTTTCTGCAACTGTGAACGACAACTTGACATTATGCTGACTGATAAGCAAGTGTCCTTTTTTTCCCAGACATATAATACCACAGCCCTCGTTTTGTTTTCACCACCACTGTATCAGATTTGTTGAGTTTGTCTACACTCAACCGTTTCACATCAAACCACTTTACATCTCAACAATTAAATTATGAGGAAATTTGGCAAACTGGTAGAATTCTGTTATCCATGGTGAGGAGTCTATGCTGGTAGCAAATTACCATGACTTGTTTCCGCCGGAAAACTAGCGCCATCTCTGAACAAACAGGTTATACAGATTTCCAGCTCACAGCTGACTTACTGTTAGTTTTTATTATTGTACCCTTTTTTTGGTAGTGTTTTCACAGCCCCTGATACAGAATCACAAAACTTTGCAGGATCGTAGAGCCGATACGGGAAAAGTGCGCTTTAGGGACCGACCGCGGTTTTCATACAGCGTTCGTTCAAACGCAGGAACATAGGTTCCCATAGGAAATGACTGGTGGAATGCTGAGGAAATTCAAATCTAACTGCCATGAATGATGTCACAAAGGACATGTTTCACACTGACCTTCATAGACATTACATACAGACTCGCATACTAGCACTCATATTAGCAACCACCTGGGATACCCCAGCAGCAGTTTAGCAGTTTCTTAGCAACCACCTGAAATACCATGGTAATGGTTTAGCAACACCTTAGCAACCACCTGGGATACCATAGCAATAGCCTAGCAGCACTTAGCAACCACCTGGAATACTACAGCAATGGCCTAGCAACACTAAGTAACCACCTGGGATACCATAGCAATGGTTTAGCAACACCTTAGCAACCACCTGGGATACCACAGCAATGGCCGAGCAACACTTAGCAACCACCCAGCATCACATAGCAACACCTTAGCGACCACCTGGGAATTCATTAGCAGCAGCTTTGTCAAGCCAACCTATAGTTTGTTCACAGGTTTTCCTCTTCTAGTTTACAGACACCTTTCGCTGAAGAACCCATCAAGGTTCTACTTGTACACGTTTGTGTAAATGTTTAGTGACAGATTTCAGCAGCTGCCCATCACCTCTGTTAAAAGTAGGTTTCGAGTCAACAGGTCTCTGCTTGAAACGCTGTGCAAGTATTGTCGGTTCTAATCGACTGTACACTGCAGATGTTCCAGATAGAGATCAGGTCGAAGAACACTGGAGTATTCCTTCAATACGCAGAGGGAACCTGACCCAGCCCTCAGAAACGATGACCGGCTCTCTGCTGCACATCCTCGTTCCCTCACCCCACAACCTGTGATATTTTTCAGTAGAACTTTGGATTTCATGAGCCGACACACACGTTCTCAGTGTATGGAACAGATTTGGAGATCTTTTTGTAGCCTGGTTTATACAGGGTGTGTTTTTCCATTTGGGTAATTCTGGTTCTTCTAAGTCTCAAGCTTTACCTTGAATTCTCATGACCTGAACACTAACAGCACTCGACCTCTCTGTGTTCTGGAAAATAACTGAATTTGCCTTCATATATCCACGGAGCTGAATTCCCTGGGAAGATCCGGTGTACGTTAAATCAGTTTGGTAACGTTAATATAAATTTTTTCAGATTTTTTTTTCTTTGCTCTTCATATTAGATCGACCCTTTGGGGAAAAACTGAACTGCTTCCCTCTGTATATGAACTGAATGTTGTACATTGTGTGAATACCTGATCGATCTCTTCTCTGTGAAAAGATAATGAGGATTTTAGTACTGAGGCCAGGCGGCTCGTTTTGAGGCCGTTTCAGAGATTCTGCACCACTGCTGGTTGATTTACTGATTTATATGTACAGTAAATTGTGTAAGAAAATAAAAAAAGGTTGAATAAATAATTACATGGGTAAAATTGTTTGTCTAAAAATCTGTCTTTTTCAGCAGCATGATCCAACTGAAGCTGTGCTAGTTTGTGCTCATTTGCATAAACACAAACATCTGTGTAAATTGTAAATCAAAGTGTGCCTGAGTTCTCATTGGCAACACACCTGGTTCTGTTTGTTCTGAGGTTATTATACAAATAGCTCAGTTCTGGACAGGTTTTGGGTTGAACTGGACAGAGAAAGAGAAACCTTCAGCATTTAATGTTAGTTTTACTCACAAAGAAAAACATTTATGCGTAGTATAAAACAGGAGTTTCCAAAACTGGACTTTAAAAAGTGACAAAATGGAATTCTAAACGTGCAACAGCTGGTAGACACCAACACTGTCCCCATCAGATAAACAGCACTTAAGGCTTTCATCTTCGAGAGAGAGGAGAAAATCAAAGCTGCTTCAGATCTGAAAACATCCACAGGTGTTTCTGTCCATCCTTCCACTGTGAGAAGACAACTCGGCGCTATGAGTCTGAAAGGATGTGTAGCTGTTAAGAAGCTCTTACTGAGAAAAGATACAGACACATCAAACAAAGAAGCTGCTGGTGGTCTCAGAACAATGAACTGACCACCCAAGAGTCCAGACCTCAACATCGCTGAATGTGTTTGGGGTTATTCACATGGTGAAAAGCAGAAAATGCAACTTCTACCACTGAACTTTGTAGGTGTGGAAAAACATTCCTGCAGATTTCTTTGAAAAACTTAGTGACTCTCCTAAAAAGAACGGAAGCTATAACTACATGTGAATATATTGTATATATGCATTTATACTATATAAATAAGACTGCAACATTCTAAACGGGCTCCTCGTGTTTAACTACATTTCTTTTCGAAACTTGCTATGGCATGAAACAGCACTTTGGTGTTTTGCGCTGAAAACGTGAGAAACAACAGAGAAAAAACCATTATAACAAAGAAGAGAGCCTAAATAATAAAAACTTATCTTTTAAAATTACTTAGTAATAACAGAAATGTTTGATTTCATGTGTTTATTTCATTTCAAACTTCTTTTTTTAACAAAAGTACATTAGTGGAATCATCACATTTATAACTGTGTGTTTTGTGAGGGGTACAAAGTGTTAAAAAAAAATAAATAATTACAAAAAATTGTCTTCCTTTATTCTTTATTTAGACAGGGAGCCCCGAGGACAACGCTGTCCACGGTACCATAAAACAAGGTTAATAAAATTTACACAAAAATAAAGACTCGTTTAGACTTTTGAAAATAAACGTTAAAATGCAGAGCTGTAGGGCAAAATGTTTGACCAAATTCAGTAAAATAATTTTTTTTGTTAAGTCAAACCATCTTAATGTCAGACGGGAACAAACATATCACAGTAGTTCAGTGCTGATATGAAGGCCTGAACATTTCTTTGTTATTTATACAGTAAAACACACAGATCATTCAGAGCTGTTCTCTTCAGTCTCCGGTTCATCTGACCACAGGATTCTGTTGCTCGAGGACAGACAGTCTTTAGGTGCTTCTAGGCAAACTCGTGTGCCTTTTACTGAGGAGCGGCTTCCGTCTGATCTGACCGCTCTCAAAAAGCTCTGCATGATGGAGTTCTGCTGAAATGGCCGTCCTTCTGTAAACTGGACTCTTTCCTTATCCAAATGACCTCAGTCTAAAATCACAGTTCATTTTAAAGTGCACGTCTTTATTTAGCAGCACAAAGAGAAAAGACCCAGCAGCAGCTCAGCTCCACTAAAATGATAGCAGCAGTGTTTCAAATGAACTCCAGGAACTGCAGCAGCTCTGCCAGTCTCAGCTTTTACTCTCACGCTTTTCTCTTATGAGAAGATAAACAAAAATAACTGTTTTAATATAAAACAAAAGACAGTCGATCGTGAAAACGGCTGAAATCACAGACAAGGTAAAGATGGTCTCTTTGTCTTGTCAGTGCCTGAAGCCTGTGCTTCATAGCCAAACCTAATCTTGTATTTTCTGTATACACAGAATTAGACTGGGGATCTTGTCGGTCACTAAATCTCTACGTACAGGTAAAAATTCTGAATCAAACTGCAGATGACTGATTCACTGAGAGAAGCCGGGGGGGCTGGGCTGTAGTCATGGAGGGATCGATTTCAGCACAGTTCCAGTGGTTTCTCAGCTGTAGAGGTGGCCAGTATGATATGATGTTATCATGATAAATTAGGGCTGGGCAATGTGACAGTACATATCGTCATCGTGATGAATTATGTCACGATACAATACACTATGCTTTTCTGAACATATCATGGATATCACTGTACTTGTAGAGCACTGCCCACCTGCACGTTTCATAATACACAGTGTGCCAAATACTGACTAAAAATCAGAGTATTCACACTTTTTGATGGTATTTTTTAATGCAGCACCAGCGTCTTTTTTCTCTTTTCCAACTGGTAAGATGTGTAAAAAAATAAATACCATGACATACTGCGTATCGTGAAGTATCGCAATACTATATTTTTGCCATATCGCCCACCTCTATAATAAATTAAGAGTCTCAAAAAGAGACTGATAAAGTTATGATAAAGTTGCATCACAATACGCTTTTCTGAGCACATATTGGATACTGACAGTACTTAAAGAGCACTGACCAGCGGTATGGATGACTAGAGAGCATAATTAGTCCTGTTTAACTGGATTTAGTGCAGTGCAGTGTGTGAGATGGGAAATAAAAATCACTGTATTCACTTTTTTCGATAGTATTTTTTGGCACTGCTGCTTTTTTGTCCGTAGCTTTGAACCTCAGAAAAACGAAGTACTGTCATACATATTGTGTATCATGAAAATGTGGAGTCTTATGATATTATATTTTTACCATACTGCCCACCCCTTGGCCCCATATTCAGGAGGCCATTTTCAAAGCTGGCAATGCATATTTGTGTAACTGGTCTTGTTACAGTGCAAGATGTAAAACAAATTAAACTCATGTTGCAGTTCTGTTCTGCTGGCGCGCTCTGAAAACTAAATGATGTAAATATCATGTACCGTGAAAATGTCAAATATGTTGACACTGTATTTTTTTTTTAATATCACCCACTTCTTTACTCAAACCTAATCCACCGTCAGTCTCCAGCGGCTCCAAACACAGGTGCGGCCAGCAGACCACCCGCTCCTCCACCGTCCTGCATCTGCTCCAGGCTCGCACCGGCCACCAAGCCTTCATCCCTCTCCTCCTCTTCCTCTCTTTCCCCCGTTTCTGTCTCCATCACTCCGCTCACAGACGTGTCTCCTTCATCATTTCCATCATCCTCGTCCTCCTCCTCCTCCTCCTCCTCTGGAGTCTCTGGAGTGTCAGGGTCCTCAGCTGCAGGTTCTGGATCTAGAGACGAAACACGGCGCACCACAGTCTCAGTACACACGTTACTCTCTGAGTTTTAGTTGAGCAAATCTATTTGAGATCATTTAACATCACTGTTGATTTCTTTTACAGTCCCTTAAGTTCTAGATATTAACCAGGTAAGTGGGTGGAAATTATTATTAGGAAATTATTTTGGGTAACATGATGGTAAGTTCCAAGGCAGACTTACTAAATAAAACTGAAATTAACTCAGTAAATATAGGGTACAAACTTGATTATCCGGGCTAAAAAACACCAGGTTGATCTTAGATGTAAAAAGAGTGTACAATAAAGAGAGCTGGGTTTTAGCTCAGTAATCAGATTTCTCAGTCCATGTAAACTCTTACTCTGATTTCTTTCGGATTCCCAGTCTGCGCATGCGTGAAAACAGACAGTGGTACTGGTAAACAAGTGAGCAGCGCTTCCGCGAGACGCAGCAAACACATTTGGAGCGACGCTGAAACCAAACACAGGCTTGACAAAATGAAGGATTTAAATATTCTTTATCTTCTAAATGATACATGTTCATAGTTTCAGGTAAAGTGACGCAGTGTTTTAAAAAAAATCAGGTTTATGTCGCGTCTTCTTCCGTGAGTTTATTGGCAAAGCAGAAATCCGATTACTGCCTGACTCATGTAGACCAGGAGTTTTCCATTATCTGATTACCCAAAACAGCTAAAACCTGTTCATCATTTCAGTGTATTTTAGTTACAGTGTCTTGGTACCTTATCATTTTACCCAAAATAGAAACTGAACCCCACACTCACCCGTTGGGCATCACAGTGTCATTTATTTAAACTGTCTCAGAAATTATCATCATGTTACCCATACTTTGAAGTTTGCACCTCATATTTACCTGGTTAATATCTAGAACTTAAGGCACTGTAAAAGAAAGCGGTACTTCAACATCCAGTGTGGTTTTGAGGCAGGTGTGTAATGATTTAGACATGCTAATGTTAGCTACACTAGCCTCGTAGCTCCAGGGTAAAACTAAAGAAGCCACCAAACTTGGTCACCAAACCATCCCTTAAAAAAGCAAACACCTTCACCTTTACCTGTTCCTTTACTGCCCTCTGCGCTCCTCCCCCTGCTCCGTCTCTCAGCCCCCTCTGCTGGAGCTCCTGCCAGGGGGCACTTGTGGTCTCTGTAATATTTGTGGCGGCTGAAGCCTTTGCTGCAGGTGGAGCAGCGGAAGCGGTAGTTGTTGGTGTGAGAGCGCTGGTGCTCCAGCATGTGGGCTCGGCGGCTGAAACTCTTCTGACACAACTGGCACTTAAACGGCTTGATGCCTGCACACACAGCAGGAAGGAAGCAGTGATTTAGTTCAGCGTTTCTCAGCCTCGCTTCACACACATCAGTGAACAAGCACTACACAGTCGTATGCAAAAGTTTGTGCGTCGCTGGTCATATTACATGTTTTGGTGATAGTAAAAATAAGTGAACTCATCCCCTACAGAGAATTCAAAGCACAATGTAATGCAATATCCTTGTTTATTTACTCAAAAAACAATGAAAATAAAATGAAGCCTGTGCAAAAGTAATGCCACATTTAGTATTTCATGTTTCATTTTTTCCAATATATTTAACTCAGCAAATAAATAGAAGCTGTGCAGAAAATGCCATATTTAGGTTTGTTCCAAAAGTTGTCAACTTGGTGAACTCAGTATAACCATTATCAACAAAGCATTTAATTTGACCAGGTGTTCACATTTTTGTATAGAACGTACCGTATACTGCATTAAAAGAAAGGTTTGGTGAAAAATCAGACTGGCACAAATTTCCCCAACCCCAGAAGTACTCGAACAAGACACCCAAATCTTTACCATAAATACATTCCCAAAAACGTTCATTAAGGTCACGCATACTTCTCCATGTGGATTTGAGGACAGTATGACTTACTGTGAGCTATAAAAATAAATAAAACAGTTTAGACCACAGGTTGTGCCGAATTCCACCTCCTCTTCGCATGTGACACAGATATACGGTCACTAGATCATCCTCAAAGATTTCTGTTGCTTCTGTTTTTAAATATATCTTCAGTTTAAAAATTCATCATTTAATTCAATTATTTATGAAAAGCAACAGAAATCACAGACACAGCCTAAATGAAGGGCTGGATGCGGGTTGAGAGAAGATTTGAATATCTCCTGTCTTCTAATGTTAGCTACGTTAGCCTCGTAGCCCCAGCTCTCAACTAAAGATGTAAAATATGGACACCTAACATGTCTCACACCAAATTGTATTTACATTGCTTATTTAGCTTTTATTCAGTTATTATCAAAGTTCTCTGGCAAAGCGACTTAATGGCATGAATGTACAGTGACATACAATCCAGGTTAAGCACTGACACTCATACACAGATACAGAAATAGGTTTATCTCATAAATCTACCTAAACAGGCCCTCATGTCTTGTACGATGCACTGTATGATACTTAATATGTAATACGTGATGCTTTGCTGTTGTATGAATTGTTTTCTCTCCTTACCAGAGTGAGAGAGTATGTGGGCCTTCAGCTTGTCCGGCCTGTTGAACTCCTTAGTGCAGCCAACATGCGTCCTTTCAGAAATACAAACCAACTATCAAAAATCACAACAAGCTTCATCTGCTTAATAATACAGACAGTCTGTGCTGTAAATATGAATATATGACAACACAAAGACAATATTTACAAACTGACGTATTTCCTGTGAATTAAAAAAAGCTATTTTAATACAATTAATGTTTTCAAAGAAATCAAAATAACCTTTTATGAACTGACATTTCACTAATACATATGCATATTTTTATGTTATTCTTATGAACAATGGCAAACACTTTATCAACATTGTGAATGTATGCCCTGCATATTTTGCATTACAAAGCATTCTGTCAACACAATGGCTCACAGAACTCTGAAGTACTACAGTGCTGTGCTAATTGTTTAAAACCATTTATATCAGTATGTTTCTAAATGTTTCTGTATGTTTTCAGTAAAACCTCACCTGTACTATATAATGAGAGTACTAGATGATATCTATAACACTGAGCTGCCATGAGGAGAGGTTTAGAAAAGGTTAAACACTTTGAGACATATACAATTATTATTGTATATTATTATATTTATTCTGATATTAAAGTTTATTTATTTTGTTAAGCAAATAAACACTTACTGCCCAGATAACTTATATAATCTTAAATAATATTCTCAGGTGCCCAAAACTCCTGCACAGGACTGTATGTTTCACTGTAGTGAAGTCTGCATGTGTATTAGGCAGAGGTGTGCAGAGTAGCCCAAGTCCAAACTCAAGTAAAAGAGTTGAGAAAATAATGGCACAGGTAACAGTAAAAGTACCTTCAGAAAAAACTTGAGCAGAAGTACAAAAGTAATGGCTCAAAAACTACAGAGTATCATACTGAGCTGTGGTGGAACCTCAGCCTCTGTCAGCACAGAAACTGAAGTTTGTCAGCCTCTATTCTTCTGTTTTTGGGAGTCTTTTAACCTGAATAAAGTGATAAAGCTGTAAAATCAGAGGTCTGGCTGAGCACAAAACAGCAGAATGAAATGAAACCCAAAAAAAAGGAACTAGTGACTAAATAAAATGTAACTGAGTAAAAAGTAGATTCTTCTCACTAATATATCTCAGAGTAAAATGATCATGATTTGATACTCAGGAAAGCACAAAACCTTCAATATTTTACTTAAGTAAACGTAATTGAGTAAATGTAACTAGTCACTACCCACCTCTGTATTAGGTGTATTGACTGACTGCTCATTAGGGACCACTGCACTTTAGGAATTCCACGGTCCTGGCAGACCCCTAAACCTGAAACACCCCCCACACCCTCCGACCCCCGAGCTGTACCTGAAAGGGCACTTGTACTTCTTAAAGGGTTCATGGATCAGCATGTGTCTCTTCACTTTGTCCTTGCGGTTGAACGTGGCCTCGCAGACAGAACATTTGTATGGCTTCTCTCCTACATTATCAACAAGGAACACTTTATCACTGTGAGATCTGTGTTGGTAATAACATGCTGTTTATACTCTAAGCCATCATCAAGGTTTGATGGCATTAACTCTGATAACTGACAACAGGAAATGAAAGATGGCTGTGTTATATTACGCCTTAAATTCGGGCTGCTCAGGTGATTTAAAAGAGGAAATTCCAAAAACATACACACCTGAGTGTATCTGTGTGTGGAGTTTGAGGTAGTGCTCAGTTTTGAAAAACTTTTTACAGATTTGGCATTTGAATTTGCCACCCGCACCGTGAGTCGAGAGATGTCTGCGGAAATACCTCTCACAAGGGAAAACCTGAACACAAGAAAAGATACATGAGTATGTAAGTTTACAATAAAATACACACAAACTGTGATTGTTTATGTATTTTACAGCTGGTAAATTCACACCTCCTCAACAGGGAACACATGAAAATATGGCATGTTTCTGTAAAAACATACATAAGATCTTAAAATATCATAACGTTTTTGCCAGCAAAAAAAAAATTGTGTATTACAGTGGTGTGCTCCATATATAATACTGCATTCTTCTGCTAATTTCTTGCACTATTTAGCATTAACACAATTTAATTTAACATACTGGACAAAACATAAAACAAGCAGTGTACCATAACTTTTGCACAGGCCACATTTTATGTTTTTTCACCAATATGTCAAATTCAGCAAATGAACAGTAACTGTCCATTAACATGTGCAGAAGTGTGTTCTCTGTAAAGGATGTGTTCACTTTCACTTAGAAAATCAACAAAACACAAACAGGAGGCCAAGAAACACAATGACAAACAAAAAGAACAGAGAAAGTTAATGTAAAAAAATTTAAGGAAAGGGAAAAAGGACTTTTAAAAACTACTATTATTATTATTATTACTGTTAATAGTACTCGTATTAAAATCCTTATTGCACTGTAAAACCCCTCTTTTGAAAGGTATATGAATATGTAAGTAAACAGTACAAATGAAAAGTTCTGCAGTCCATTTAGAACTCAATTCACAGAAACAAGCAGCAGTTTAATCAGTAAACCTGCAGTGACCGTGGACGGTAAGCAGACTGATGTCAGCCGTACCTTCTGGCAGTGAGGGCAGGGGTAGTTGTGGGAGGCGGTGAGGAGATGCTGCTCCAGAGCTTCCTGTGTGGAGTATTTACTCTGGCACTTATTACATCTGCACACAACAACAACAACAACAACATCATCACTCATCCTATTCAGTGTTAGCACTGCTTAGAACACTCATTTTAAATATGTGTGATATAGTCAGGATTATTATAGATTTTACATTTTTATTACTTTCCATTTCTTTTTTTTTTCAGTTTTGTTTCTATTTTCTGAAAAGTAAGAGTAAGTTTTATGTTAGTGTTTATTTATAAGGCTCAGTCTAATTTCATTGTGATAAGGGCACAATGAAATAAGACTGAGCCTGGATCCACCTCTAAACTCCCAATTTATCTTGATTCGTCCTGATAAACTGTAACCAATCATGCTTAAAAAGCACAATAAAACATTCTCAATATCATGCATAGCAAGATAAAAGCTCACATTTACGCTTTACAATAGTGTTAAGCTCAACAGTCTGATCTTTTCAGAGGTGGAGCTGCACTAACCTGTAGTAGTTGGTCTCTTTGCGCAGGTTCTGCTGGGGGCAGAGGCTGTGGGAGTACTGGTGCAGGCCCAGCTCAAACAGGGAGGGGAACACTTTACAGCAGAGGTGACAGCGGTACGTCAGGTGCTCCTGGTGTGTGCGGATGTGTTCGAGAAACAGGTCCAGCTTCTGAAAGGTCTGAGAGCACGTCTTCACCACACACCTGTACACCTGCACAGGACAACAGAGACGAGCTTGCTGCATTAATAAATGTTCATTTTAGAGTTCTTGCTTTCGTTATGCTACAGTGTTTAAAGGAAAATTTCACCAAATTCCCCAAATTCCTGCATAATTCAGTCACTCAGAGTGGTTTGGTGTGAAATGCTCCATTCTAGAATAACTTAACAAGTCACAGTTGTTCACAGTGGTGACGATGGGATGTCGGTGTTTAATGCCTTTAAAACACCCTCACAGAAAGTTATTACATTAAATAGTACTGAATGCACTGCATGATGCCTGAGATGCTTTTTTTGTTGTTATTTTACATAAAGATCTACATTTTTTAGATTCATTCATGGCAGCGAGATACATGAGGCAAAACAGTCCCCAAAGAAAACTTATTTTTCAAGATTTACCACAATTTTAGCATCAACGTTATATATAAACTCAGAGGACACAAGTAGGTTCACTGGTCATTTTGGATAGTAAATAAAATGGTTATATTTGTGTTGGACACACTGTGATCCCTGGTTCCTATTAAGGCAGAACGATTAATCAGATTCTATTTTCAATTATGATTTTGGCTTCCGACAATTATGAAAATAAGATTTATTATTAGGGCGCATTTTGTTTCATAATGATGCTCTCATTTTGTCTTGTGTTACAAATCCAGTGCACCCGTTTTCTTCAGCAGTGCGCTTTCGCCCCACCCTAAAACCCAAACTCACTCGCAGTCAGGCTGTGGCATGCTTAGTTCAACTCGAGCCGAGATGACAGAAAAAGAGCCTGTAGACAACAAGAAAGATCGAAACAATTCAGCTGTTGGGAAACACCTGAGTTTCAAGGAGTCCCAACGAAGTACAACAAATACTGTGCAAGATCATTACACAGAGCTTCTTCATCACAAGCCAATACGAGCACCTGGTTTAGTCATCTGAAATTCAATTTTTTAAAAAGATTTTCTAAAATGTTCAATAAATACATGATGTTTCCAAGGTCAATGAGTAATCGTTTTGAAATTTAGTTCATAACAAAATATCTTCCCTTCTAGTACAAACACAGCTGTGGTATGTTGTGGTTTATATATGAGTGATTCAGATTCCACAATCTTTACAGAATGTAAACTGGTCCCAATATACTATAAGTGAGAATTAATATCGGATCAGCAGCGAGAAGCCCAGCTGTGAGGGGTCGTACCTGCTCGTCTTTGTGCTGGGTCATGTGGGACTTGAGCTGGAAGTACGTGCTGAACTTGGCTGCGCAGAACTGGCACTGGTAAGAGCTGTCGATCAGATGATCTGTTTGCTGTGACCCTGACCAGGGCCTTTAGCCTCAGACGCACCGGCCGCCTCCGCCTGCAGCTCTTCGTCGCTCTGCTCCACAGCTGCTGCAGAATACGAACAATGAGGGAACAGCTATTCAGCTGTTTAAGCATGGAAGTTGAATGTTGATGTGAATTTTGTCCAGTTTCAAATATATTAAGTGGGTAATTTTACATAGACACTCCTTCCGGTAAAGAACAATTCTGAAACAAATACAAACAGCAGCCATTTCAAAATTCATATGGAGTTTCAATGTTTTTAGAATGTCTGGTTAATCACACAGTTAATCACTGAGATCGTTTAGAATCATTCAGTGTGGTTTGGTGAGAAAAGTTACGCTCCAGAAAGTCAGAATTGTTCACAGTGGTGGTGATAGGAACCAGACGTCTGAAGAGTTAAATACCTCTGAAAGCTCCTCACAGAGAGTTAATAAATGAAACGGTTATGAAATACTCTGGCCGATGACTGAGACACTGTTTTACGACTGGTCTGAAATAAGATTTTGGTCTAAAATGTATTTTTACAATACATTCATGGTGGGGGGGTTATATGCAGGGGGTTGTTAAGCAAAACAGCCCCCAAAAGAAAACTTTCAGATTTACCACTATTTTACCATCATCAACATTACATATAAAAACTCACAGGTCATGTTTAGGTTCCCTGGTCATTCTGGATAGTAGATAAAATGGCTACCTTTTTGTCGTAACCCCTGGTTCCTATCAGCACCACCATTCCAGAGGTCCAGAAAGTTTCTCTACGATTAATCTTAATCAGCTCACATTAAACCTCTCTGAATGACTTTGTTTACAATAGAATATGCAGATTTTTTGAAAAATTGTAATTTAATGTAATTTATTAAGACGCTGGATGTATGAACAGTTTCTTGAGTTTGATCCCAACTGATGGCTACTGCCTCTGTGCCCTCAGATAGGGGGCAGTCTCTGAAGATAAAAGTCAGTCACTTTGGGCAGAAGAGCAGGTGCATCACTAACTGTAAATTCAAATGTACTGTGAAATGAAGTGGAATAAGAGGAAGTTACTCTGAGCTTCCTGTGCCTCTGCTGGCTGCGGTGTGTTTTCATCCGTGTTCACAGGAACCACTTTCACAGTGATGGGCAGTCTGGACACAGTGCTGTGGACGCCAGCCGGCCACACTTTGTGAGTCTGCATGTGCTTCTTCACGTTGGACTTTTGGGCAAAAGCTCGACCGCACACAATACACTGGAAAGGCTTCTCACCTGTGTGGCTGGACAGTGCAGAGTGGGCAAAATCAAGCATCATACCAAAGAGCCAGTATAACATTCACACTTATGAGCTGTTGTAGTTATAAGAAAACCTCATATCTCCGAAACAGTAACATCTGGCAACGTAGCTTGGCAAAATTCCTATTGATCAGGAAAAGTGTTGACACATCTGGTGTTTTCAAATGGTGTAAACGTCATTTTTTGTGTTCTGAGTGTAGATTTGAACAGTGTTTAAGTGACGTGACAGTTTTTCACGTTTACCTTCTGATGTGTTGCTGAAGGTCGAAGTTTTTGGTGAACACTTTGTCACAGAAATTGCACTTCAGCTTCTGACCTTTTGCTTTCGTCTGTCCTACTGAGAGACAAAATAATAACTTAAAAACAGACAACACAGTTTAATAAAAGAGTTTGATAATATCTTATTATACATCTTACTTATCTTTAATTAGATTACTTTTGGCCTAAATTCCACTAACAGTGTCCATTTTCCACTACTTGACATGAAGCCTGTAACCCCTTCAGTCTTAGGCTTATTATTCAGTTATTAATCTTGAGACATAACATTTAAAAACTACTATTCATTATTCAGAAACTACTGTAAATAATTCAGTAACTATTAGCAATTACTCAGTAAGTACAATGAAACATTCAATAATTACTATATTTTATTCAGTAACTACTATGAATTATTCAGCAATTGCTGCAAATAATTCAGTTATTGCTATAATTTATTTAGTAACTATTATGAATTATTCACTAACTACTGTAAATTATTTGGTAAGTGCTATGGATCACTCATTAATTACTATACATTATTCAATAACTACTTTAGCGAGAGCGAGGAAGTGTGTATGGACCCACATGCAGGTCTTCAAGGTTTAACGGGTTCAATCTGATCTTATGAACTGTTCAGTACCATCCTGTCCTTTCTTGGTGTTTCTGGCTTTCTTGGGGATGATGACCTTGTCATATTCCCCCAGCTCAGGCAGGGCTGCTGTGTTGGTGCAGGTTTTGGCTTTGGCTGCTGGTTTTGCGGGAGTGTAGGCAGGAGCGCTGCTGAACGCCTGACTCTGACTCTCCACACACTGGCTGGGACCCTGAGATACACACATAATCTGGGTCACGAACCACCCCACAGTGGACACACTGTAGGTTACAGTTACACAGGCACTCAAATCATCTTTCACATTATTTACTTTGATCTTAAGAAGGTGACAGGATGCTGTCAACCAATACACACATTAATACTATACAATTACACAATAACAGCCTCTGTATAACATGTGACAGTATATTAAAAACATACGATAATGAATCCCACATGGTCACTAAAATGGACAAATTAAAACTTTTTAACACACTAACTAAAAATAATCATCAGCACTTTGAAACTCCCTTGAACTAAACTCAGAGTGCTGCTGTACCTGAACCGACTGAAACGCCTGCAGTCCAAGTGCGTGCACTTCTGCATTACCACCCCCAGCCATCGGGGGCAGCGCGCTGTACACCTGCACCACTGAGTTGTTGTTGCTGGAGGGGACCTGAGAGGAGAGGGGCTGGGTTTGGCTGGGTGGGAGTGGGTGAGGGGGCTGTGGGTGGTGCTGCAGGTATGATGCTCCAGTGGGCATGCTCAGATTACTCTGGAAGAAAAACAACAGCAGTGGTCAAAACACTGTTATCTCCTCTCATGTCCTTGGTTATTTGGACAACAAGCTGTAACAGCCAGTGGGACCTGAGGGCCAGAGTCCAGCAGAGTTCGGTGATTTCACTGCTCTGACACATTAACTGAACTTCTTAACTGACTGCTAATAACTGGTTGAATCAGGTCTGTTTGAGGAGGGAAATCACCAAACTCTGCCGCGGTCTGTGCCTCCAGGACGGGAGTTCCCCACTCCTGCATTAAAAGACAGACAGCCTCATTACAGCTAATTATCAAGCGCTGAATGAGCTGAATCAGGTTGGTCAGAACAAGATAAATGCAGTGGGCTACAACAGTTTGAGATCATAAGTAAAAATGACTGAATTTGACACTTTAAAAAATCTGAATGTTTTAATTATTAATAAATTGTTTAAATGTGAATAGTGACCTACAAATAATGCAAAATCCTTAATATTCTTTTTTTTTTCATTTTACTTGTCATAACTTTTCTTTGTGTTAATTTTTTCAAAAAATCTAAAACTTTCTGTTTATTTCCAAGTTTAAATGAAAAAAAATGTGGTCTCAGACTCCTGGACTGCACTGTATACCATACAATCATATGCAAACATTTGAACACCCCAAGACATATTACACATTTAGTTGACTCTCTATGTGAAACAGGTCAACACACAGAGAACAAACCTAAATAAATAAGCTATTTTTCTGCAAATGTCACTGTGCAATTTCTATTTATTTGGTGAGTTTAACAAAAAGTAAAATAAAACATATAAATTATGCCAGAACTTTTGCACAGGCCACATTTTACATTTTAATTTTTCACCAATATGTTAAATTCAGTAAGTAAACAGTAAGTGATCATTAGTATGTGCAGAAGTGTGCAAAATTTGCATACACTATGAGAGCTTAAAGAAATTGCTGTTTTATTGTGCATGTTTTTCATGTTTGCAATTCAAATGAGAAGGGAATGTGTCTTAACCAACTCCAGGGGAATACCAAACAACTATATAATAATAAAATTAGCCTTTTGAAGGTGTGGAGCCACACAAATTCCCAAACAAGTAAATGACATGCAAACACTAACACTGCCTCTTCTTTTATTCACAGACTTTTTCCTAGTTGTTGTGTGGTGTGGTGTGAGACTTTAACCAGAGGGGATTTATACAATCTTTGATGTAACTCTGATGTCACTGGAGCATTTCTCTCAGTTCTGGCATTTTCCACTGTAGGAAGCCTTTTAGCAAACCTTGCCTGGCTAATCTGCAAACTAATGACAGTATTACTGTGCTGTACTATATTAAACCACACAATATCCATATTAAATCACACATGGCTTAAATTTACATTGAAGAGGCAGCCAATCTAAAGCCTTTCAGAGAAAGTCACAGCTTAACTTCACCTTGTACTGGAAAACAACATCTTCTGAGAAGTAAAATGTTAGGTTGTGGTAGTATCACTTCACACTTCACCACAAAGCTGAGATTTGCTTTTTTTCTAGCTTCTTATTCCAATTTTCCGTTCCACCTTAAACGGTGCAGCAGTTATGTTCTGGCACCTCTGAGGCGTTGAAGATCTAGTCAGCAGATTCCAAAGATGATAAATCCAATCAATGATATCCAACATTTTACTCCATTTAATCTTCACGATTAAATCTGTGAAATTAGCTTGAGCTGAATGTTTATCTGCACTCTCACTGCAATGCTTCCTAAGTGCTGTTAAACTAGAGCTGCGTCCAAATAGAATGAAACTTCCCACCGATCCGCTTTCCTCGATTCTGCTCTGAGCTTTGATCTGGTAGTCAAGTAGATCCACATGCTGATCAGGTCTGCAAACATGTTAAGTGAGTTAAAGGGCTCATTAGATCAGAGAAAATCAAGGAAAGCAGATATGAAAGGAGGATTCATTCAACTATTTCGAACCAGCCTAGACAGACTAACCCTGCCAAAATGGTGGATCACCCAGAAGACACTGCATCATGACATCACGTTCACAAACCCAAACAGCAAAACACCTCTAAGGAACTTTTTGAGTTGTTGTTTGAAAATAAAGCCTCAGTCTCATCAATCACTAAAACACATAGGCGCATGTGTGATTTCTGACCATACTTTTATTAGAAATTTTAGTTTTTTAAAATTAGTATTAGTGTATCAATGATGAAACAGCCAAGCTAACACTATACTGCACAGTGCTGCGGCTGTTTTTACTGAGCCAGTGGATGGAGACTGTGATATACTTAAGTTCATGACTGGCAGAATATTAAAGACAAAACCACTGACATATCGAATGTTCCAGCCGGCTCAAAGACACCCAAAGAGACCTGTGGCCTTGAAGCCACTATTCAGAGACACCACATGCATGATGTTGGCCTTTTTAACTCAACAAGATCTCAGCGTTCACACTGTATTAACCTGCTAACACTGTGTCTCTCCAACAGTGATGAAAAGTGTGTCTACCTGAGTGGAAGCCTGCATGGCAGCCATGGGCTGGTCCATGGACGTAAACGCAGAGATAGCAGACATGAGAACCTCATCGCTGACCAGAACGTTCCCCTGCACCAGCGTGTGTGTGAGAGGAGAGGGAGGAACTGTGATGTATGTGGACACCTATGGGAGACACACACACACACACACAATAAACAGATGTTCAGTCATGAAAAGTAAAGATGAAAGGAGTCACGGTTGTCAGCAGTAACAAAAGCATCCTGTAATTTTATATGAAATAAAAGGTACCTGTATGTTGGAAAGTGTGTTTATATTGACCACCCATAAAGACCACCTGTACCTCACTACACCCAGATGTATATAAAGACCACCTGTACCTGTCTGTTGGCAGGGGGCTGCGGCACAGCGCTGATGGAGGGGACGGAGGTGTAGGCATTGCTGGAGGCCAGAGACACGGTGGCCAGTGAGGGGGTGTTGGGCTGGCACTGCTCCCTCTTATGTGTCATGAATGCAGGCAAGGAGTTAAACTGCTTCTTACACTTTCCACAGAGGAAGACGTCATCATCATCTGCGAAACATCAACACAGTAGTCATGTTTAAAGTTCCTGTTAAAACAGCTTAAATTCTAACAGTTAGACCCCCAGCTTTCATAACTACATATTAGTTACAGAATAATTATTGGAATTAATAAATGAATAATAAGCCTGTAGTTTAAGGAAAAGCCAAACGTAGTAGATTCAGTACTGTGTGTGGGAGTAGCTGATTTTGATAATTGCGTAAAAGAAAACAAGCCGTCATCCGGACTGTCTTGAATCTCAGGACAGACTGGGTATTCCTGGTTGGTCACCGTGGTGCTGAACTGAAGGGCGGCTACAAGAGCTAATTTGAGGCATTCAGCCTCCTGGCAGCGCTCCCAAACTGAGCGCTGTTGGGCAGTAAAATGACCAATGTTTGTTGTAAAATGATAAATTTAGAATACTTTACAGCCCACAGGCCTACTTTGGACAGAAATGTAACATTTAAAAATACTCTCTGTACATCAGCAACAACACAGAACAGAAAACGCTGCTCACCCATTGGCTGGATGGTCGTCCCTGAGACAGTCTGAGTACTGGGATCTGGGACACCACCTTGGCCATCCAGAAGGGACTGGACAGCAAGGACCGTCTGGTTGTCCATTCCTATTCAGGAGCAGAATGAGGCTTAATTAATGCATCTGTGAAAGATTTTAGTCACCAGAGCCACTGAACTGTGCAGCAGCAGAAAGTCAGGGCAACTAGACTGCTGGTATAATCATCTGAGTGGGTGGTAACCAGTACCACTTACTCCTTCCTCAGTATCTCCAAATGATAATACTTCACTTCTACTCAAGCATATCTGTGAGGAAGGAAATCTACTTTACTCAGTCACATTTTATTTAGTAACATTTAGATACTAATATGATACACTGGTGAAAGCACCAGTACTGCTTTGGGACTGCTCACACCTCTTCAGCACTGCATTTTAGACCAAACAGACTGAACCTAACAAACTTTAGTTACTTTTGAACATCTTTCTCAAGTTGTTTTTGAAAAGGTACTTTTAATTTTACATAACTCACTATTTCACCAAACTAATAACACCTTCATTTGACCATAGGTTTAGATTACTGTGTGGGGACCCAGCGGCTTTAAGACATCTTCAAAATTTCTCCAGTTGTTCAGACGCAATTAAAGTCATTCAAGGCTGATGTGAAATGATTCACTGTAAACAAAAGAACGGACTTAGACTTATCATAATAAATTTATTTAGTATCCCAAACTGGTAAACGGCCTTAAATCTGGAAAATAAATTAATTTTCTTTGGGTACTATTTTGCTTTACAACAACATGCTCGTACCTACATTTCATGCCAAAATTTTATAACTATCGTAAAAAAATGTCTCGGACATCAGGCGACGCATTCATAGCCATTTCATGTAAGAACTTTGTGAGCTTGGGAGCTTTTAGAAGAGTCAGAACAATTCTGAATCTGTACATTTCACTAAAAATTCAGCATTTTAGATGAAACTCTGAATGACTGTTTACATCTTAAGGGTTTAATTATGTACAAATTTTGAAAAATGGGTGGAGTTCCACTTCAATCAATGTGTAACAGGAAAAATAAGGTTACATTTATAAAAATCAATGAAAAGCAAAAGTGGGATGAAAGGATAGCATCTGGTTGACATGAAGGTCCTAAACACTAAAGGTACACTATTAGGGTTCTTTAGTAAAGGGAATGGTTCTGTTTAGAACCATGAGTTCTATATAGAACAATATCATGCCTAAAATGGTGAAATGGTTCATCTGACTGATGCAGAATGTGTTGTATTTGGTTTTATATAGCACCTTTTTGAAAATGGTTCTATACGGCACCAAAAAGGGTTCTTTTATTGTTACAAGCTTGACATCGCAGAACCCTTTTTTGGTGCTATATAGAACCACATATAGCACATTCTCCATCAATCTGAAGAACCATTTCACCATGCAAAGAACCATTTGCAGCATGAAAGGGTTCCATATAGGGCTCATGGTTCTAAACAGAACCGAAGCCTTTACTAAAGAACTCTTGAAGAACCATCTATTTTAAGAGTGTAGGTAAAAACAAAGTACAGTAGTTCAATGTGCACTGAGCCACAGTATGACCCTAAATATATTTAAATCAAGAAATTATACAGCAGAAATATCCAAAAGCAAACATAGGGCTTGTTCAGGATCTCTGGATCAGTGGGAGGAGATGTCTGGTTGGTTCTCCTCAGCTCTGTTTACACCGGCTCGGCTTTTCCCACCACTCGCCGTCCTCCCTCCGCCATCTTTTCCCCCTCCGCGCCTAGCTGTTGTTTTACCGGCCCTCCCTCCCCTTCACGAGGATGAAGTTGCTTCTTCTTCTTCGAATCTTCCCGTTCCACCTTAAATGGTGCAGCAGTTACGCTCTGGCGCCTGAGGCGTTTTCGTAACTGCTGGATAATTTAAGGTGGAACGGGGAAATTCGAACAAGGAGGTGACGAATAGAAAGCTGACTTCGGCTTCTCCTCCACGAATCTCAGCACAGCTCCAAAACAACAGTAAAGCCATCCTAACAGACCCGCTACAGACCCCGCACCGACCCCAAACACCAGCACCGCGCAGCTCCGCTCGCCGTAGCGGCACCAGAGGCTTCGGTTTAGCTGCGAAATGACCATTTCTGCGGAGGCTCTTCGTCCGGGGTTTAAAGGAGCCACACGGAAGAACAGAGAGAGCCGCCTGCTGCTTAAAGCCCCGGTTTTCGGACCAAGCGATAAAAAGCGAAAACAAAAGGCAGACGATAACTGTATCTGCACGGTTAAAGTACTGTAGAAATGCTTATGGCTACCTTCCAGCACCTCAAATATCGCCTGCGACATGTTGAAGTCCTCGGTTAGCAGAGCAGCAGCGCACGCTCTGAGGAGGAGGAGTGGGCGGGGCCTGTCGACGGAGGTGTGGGCGGGGATATTAAGGTTGATATTAACTTGGGTTGGGCGATATGACAATTTATCGTTATTGTGATGAATTATATCACAGTATGTCACAATATGCTTTTCTGAGCATATCATGGTTTTTGTGAGCACTTAAAAAACACTTACCAACTGCATGTTTGATAAAATAAGAGCATAGCAAAGCATAATTAGTCCTGTTTAATTAGATTTAGTGCAGCAAAGTGTGTGAAGTGAAGTAATATGATTTAGTTTTTGATAGTATTTTTAAAACGTGGCACTACTTTGTCTGTTCTAGCTTGTCAGATGTCAGAAAAAATAAACACCATGACGCATCATGTATCATAAAAAAACTTCCTGAAGTATTGTGATTAGATTTTGTCATATCGCCCACCTCTAACATTAATTATATTTTCAGTTTCAATATGACTTTCATTCCTGAGACCAAGTTTCAGTTTTAATTCGATTTTTGATTTTCTCTGTGTTAAAAGTGGACTGATCGTTAGGGCTCAGAAAAAGATCATTTAACTTGAAAACAAAACACTGGAAGCATGTAGTAGCATGTCTTTGTGCAAAAATCTTATTAAAAATGCAGTACATGAAGTATGAACAGCACAAAAGCCTCATATAAAATCTTACATAGAATGCAAAAACATCCAATACTTCAGATAAAACCGTATACAGCACGTCCTCACACCATCATTGATCACTGGGTGTTCACTATACCGTTTCGGACATTCATTTTCTCAGTTTTTCATTCAAAATCTCAATTTTTTATTTTTATTTTTTTTTTGGAATTGTTACATCTTCACTGCATATTAGACCTGTCTACTATCAGCTGTACTGTTATACAGCTATAGCCTAGCTCAGCTCGAGGACTTACTAACAAAATGAACATTAAACCTGGCCTAATATTCTACAAACAGTAATTAAACGTTTGGACATTTTACAAAACTTCCCTCAGAAGGACAGAAACAACCCGGCAGAGCTGAAGTGTTATACATATGTAATTACGGGTTGTTTGTTTGTTTATTAACATCAAATAGCACTTGATAGAACTATTTAGAGTACAAAAAGATGGTTCTTCAAGGGTTCTTTAATAAAGGCAATGGTTATGTTTAGAGCCATGTTCTTCAGACTGATAGAGAACGTGCTGTATATGTTTTGTTTTGAAAATGCTTCTATTTGCGCCAAAATGGGTTCTGCCATTGTTATCACGTCGAGCTTGTAACAATAGAAGAACCCTTTTTGGTGCCATATAGAACCACATACAATACATTTTCACGATCTGAAGAACCTTTACACAGTCCAAAGAACCCTTTAAGCGCTGCCTTTACTAAAGAACCCATGAAGAACCGTCTTTTTAGGAGTGTAGTCGACAGTTTCCACTGGAAGCGTTGCTGTGAGGAACGGGTGCGGCGGCCAATCAGAGATCAGGCGAACCGTGACGTACAGGGACGTTCTGGGCCAATCGTCTGGCTGAGTTTCGGCACGTGCCAGTTTTCGCGGCAAAAAAGATTTGGCGCGTAAAAAGCTGGAGCCGATCAGCTGAGACAAAAAAACAACAACAACGAAAACGGCAGCAGCAACAAAGGAGGTCATTTCGGGGAGCGGAGGGCGACCGAGCGGCCAACCTGCGGGCAGAGAGCGGCTCTCAGAGGCACAACCGGAGGCTTTATTTGGAGATGAGCGGCGGGGTGGCAGGATTATTGTGCTGCTGAACAGAGAAGCTTCCTGAATGAGTTTGTTTTGGTTTTTTTTTTCGGTCGCGGGCTGAAAGAGAAACTACGGGCCGCCAGCAGATGAAACTTTTCTTCTTTCCTTCACTCAGGTGTTCGTTCGTTCTGCTCCTGGTCGCGCCTTCCGAAGGAAAGGTTTGGTGAAAATGTGCAGAGGTTTGACTGAGTGTGAAACCTTTGGCCTGAGTGAGTCTCCTCTGTCAGTTAGCAGTGCAGCTAAGCTAGGCTGCCTGTAGCTGCAGTCAGGGCCTAAAGCTCAAATAAGGCACATCTGGGTTAGTAATTTATGCACTGGTTACTAATATATTCATATTTTACCACTTTTAGGCTTCTGTAGCTCGTGTTTGGAGGAGTTTACCTTCAGCTGCGGGTCTTTCAGCTGTAGGTTACAAGTGCAGTTTTCAGGATTGGGATCCTGCTTTAACGTGCATAACAGCAGATGACACGCTTTTTGGCCGCTTAGCTAACTTTCCTGCTGTCCTCTCGCAGGAGTTTGTGTAGTTCTGTGGTTTGGGCTGTGAAAGCCGGGGCTCTCCGTGACCCAGTTAGGTTAGCCAGGTTAGCTAGCTCAGCTGGTCCGGTCACTTCATATGAATGAAAGCTCCGTGTCGGGGGGTCAGTCTGCTCTGGGACCTCTCTCTGTTAAGTATATAACCGTGTCGAGGTCATCTGCCCGTGTGAGAATGGCCGAGGACAGTGTTCTCACTTCCTTCAGTGCGTTTTCACTCAGAGCAGCTCAGCGAAGCCTCGCCTGAGCCTGAAGTTTGACGGAGACACCCAGCGCTTATGAACACACAGCCCCCCTTTAATGCCAGCATGTCAGAGACCTTCATATCGGGCCACACGTCCGAGGACCTGCTGGCCGACTTCGAGTCGCTGTTGAACAGCGGCAGCATCGACCTGAGCGCCGAGCACCAGATTGTGATCATCTCCACCCCCAGCAGTGTGGACCTCCACCCGGCCGCGTCACACCCCGCGGGCGGGGACATCCTGCTGTTCGCCACTCCGAACACCACCCCGGCCCCCGTGCAGGAGACCCGCAGACCCGCGCTGGGACGACCACCGGTACTACTCAATGACTATAGGATCATCAGTACTGTTTTACTTATTTGTTATTATTCTTACTATTATTATTATTATTATTATTACTATTACTATTATTATTATTATTAACCTATTTGTTATAATTGTAGTAATAGTGCTATTATTACTAGTACTACAACTGCTACTTCTACTACCAGTGCTACTATTACTAGTACTACAACTGCTACTTCTACTACCAGTGCTATTATTACTAGTACTACAACTGCTACTTCTACTACCAGTGCTACTATTACTAGTACTAAAACTGCTACTTCTACTACCAGTGCTATTATTACTAGTACTACAACTGCTACTTCTACTACCAGTGCTACTATTACTAGTACTAAAACTGCTACTTCTACTACCAGTGCTACTATTACTAGTACTAAAACTGCTACTTCTACTACCAGTGCTATTATTACTAGTACTACAACTGCTACTTCTACTGCCTGTGCTATTATAACTAGTACTAAAACTGCTACTTCTACTACCTGTGCTACTATTACTAGTACTAAAACTGCTACTTCTACTACCAGTGCTACTATTACTAGTACTAAAACTGCTACTTCTACTACCAGTGCTATTATTACTAGTACTACAACTGCTACTTCTACTACCAGTGCTACTATTACTAGTACTAAAACTGCTACTTCTACTACCAGTGCTACTATTACTAGTACTAAAACTGCTATTTCTACTGTACCAGTGCTACTATTACTAAAACTGCTACTTCTACTACCAGTGCTACTATTACTAGTAATAAATATGCTACTTCTACTACCAGTGCATTATTACTACTACTAAAACTGCTACTACAAGTGCTAATATCTAGCACTAAAACTGCTGCTACATCTGCTGCTTCTTGGGCTTTTATTATGAGTACAAAAACTACTACTGCTGCTATTATTACTACTGGTAGTGTTGTTATCATATTAGAATTAGTAGTGATTGTAGCAGTAGTTTTAGTACTAGTCTGTATTAGGTTGCATTTGTCTGAGTAGTAGTAGTACTAATGACAGTATTAGTGATATTATATTAGCACTTGTAGCAGTTTTTGTTTGTTTTTGTTGTGTGTAGTATTAGTGCTCATAGAAATAATAGCAGCAGTAGCTTTGTTATTAGTGGTATTACTGACACTAATGTTAATAATAGTAGTAATATCGTTATCAGTAGTATTAGTCATCGTATTAGAAGTACTATTAATAATAGTTGTTATTGTGGTTATTAGCGCTATAATACCATCTGTAATGCTACAATATGTAATACATAACAGGAGGTTTATATGACCCTCATTGTCCACTCTTGTATTTACACTGGAAAACTCTGCTGATAGTCATTTTTCACCACCTGTGCCTTCTCTGAACTTTGACTCCAGGTGAAAAGGAAGTTGGACTTAGACAGCGATCACCAGTACCTGAGCAGTAACGGACCACCGTCACAAATTCCAGCCCCCCCGGCCACACCCGCTCCCAGAGGTAAACACATCTTTCTACAGCAAACCAGACCTCAAAAGGGATCAAAGACCTTTTATATGCTGTCCTCCCCATTTCAGAGTCCAGCTGTAACTGGACGAATGCGTTGCGTTGGAGATGAATAGCGCTTTAACTTACTACAGCGCATCACACAATACAGGCAGCATGGACTTCTTGTATACAGTGATAGGAAACACAGCAGCACACAGAAAGCTCAGATTCCACAACAGGAGAAAGACTAAGAGTCTTGCATTGTTTAACCACTCTGGGCCCACCGACCGGCCCAAAGTGTTACACACTTCTATGGCCTAAAAATAGCTCTACCAGTTTGCACTGAAGTCCCTGTAGTTACTGAGTAATAAGCCTTAGTGTGTAATAAGCCTGAGATTTTAAGGGGTGAAATTAAAATGTTTTTACCCCTTTTTAAAAAATGGACACATAAACACAAACTACAGACTGTAAAAGTAGTGATAACTTTAGACTGTTTACAGAGCTGCTCTACACTTTTACCATTACAGCAGTTTGATAGTAATGTTATAATATCAGTGTTACAGGCTTAAGTTAAACTGACACTTCAGAACAGCTACATAGAGATAAATTCATTTGATCTCTTTTTCTCTCTTCTCCCTAAACTGACCACAGAGAAGTCTCGCTATGACACGTCACTCAATCTCACCACCAAGCGCTTTCTGGACCTGCTGGCCCAGTCTTCTGACGGGGTGGTGGACCTGAACTGGGCTTCGCAAGTTCTGGACGTCCAGAAACGTCGTATCTATGACATCACTAACGTCCTGGAGGGCATCCACCTGATCTCCAAGAAGTCAAAGAACCACATTCAGTGGCTGTGAGTGACGTCCGTCCGCATTCTCAGCGATTCTGTTCAGTCGTGATTCTTTACCAGCTGCATTATAAAATATAAAATTGCACTATTTTCACTAAAATTTCGGTTTGATTTTATTGTTTTGGTATAATTCAGATTTCCACTTAGTTATCGTTCTTAAAGTTCATCAAATTTAACATTCCACCTCAATTTGGTTTGATTAGATTAATTTGATGCAATTCTGAATTATCTTTTAAAATATCCAGAAATCTGGGGCCAAACTTTGTTCTTCAGGCTTCAGACTCAGAAAATATCTCTCTACTTTTTGAAAACAAAAAAGTTCTTGTTACTTTTTACTGTATTTAAGTTTATTTGCATTGATTGTAATGATATGTAGTTTTTACTGGCAAAAACACATTTACTGAGGGGATAAATACTTTTGCTTATAATTTGACTTTTGCGCAGTGCTCAAAGCAAACAAAGCAGTGTAGCACAAAGATCAGTGAAAGATCACTTAAACTAGGAATGTAGCAATTTGCAGAATTCACCACTTGCTTTGATACGATACAGGGACCTTTTGATTTGATACGGTTTTATTAGGGCAAAAATAAGGAGTGGCTAAAAATGTTGTTGTTGTTGAGATGTTAATGTTTCAGCTATCAGCTTATTAAAGCATTCAGCTTTACAAAAGCATAATATTTAAAATACAAGCTGCTTTATAGGAACCGATTTAACACTTTAGGCACAAGCTGACATGCTAGTTCCAGTACATTTATACAAAGAGGAAGAGAAAGAGGAAGAGAAAAAAATCGGAAGAAGGAAAAAAAGGAACAACAAAGAAAACTAAAGGAAAATAGGGAATAAAGCAAAATGAAAAGAAACTGTTAAGAGAAAATAATAAGAAAAGAAAAGAGAAAAAAAAGACAAGAATTATTTAAAATGTTATTAAAATGAAAAATAGACGCCACACATCCCATCTCGTGCATTAATTGCGTTACAAGAAGAGAAAGAACAGGGAGGAAAGGAAAGAAACAGAAACAAGAAAGAAAGAAAGAATGAAAGAATGAAAATGAAACAACAAACCACTACAAGAAAGGAAGAGAGAAAAAGAAACAATAAAGAAAGAAAAGGAAGACAGAAAGAAAGAAGAGGAGGAGTTTCAAAGCATGAAATGCGGTCATGGTCTGTCTTTGTTTCAGAGCCATTTTTGTCTGTTTTCGTTTCAGTGGGAACCGAATTGACGGCGCGTCCGTGGCGCGGTATCAGGAGCTGCAGAGGGAAGTGTCTGAACTGTCCGAGGCTGAAGATAAACTGGATGAACTCATCAGCAAGTGCAACCTGCAGCTCAGGCTGCTCACTGAGGACTCCAACAACAAGAAATATCCTTTCTGGACGTGAGTGCGTGTTTGTGTGGGGTGGTTCAGTAGCTCGTAATGACTCAATGTCTCTGTGTGCGCTATTGTCTTTAACACAATGCTACGCTGGGCTACGTGAGGTGTCAGGACCTGCGGAACACGGTGGACCCTCCAGATCAAATCGTCATGGTGATAAGAGCCCCTCCGGAGACGCAGATGACCGTCTCAGAGCCCAGTCAGGTATTTAGAAAGCACTTTTAATTTGCAATAATTCTGTTTGATCGTTATGTTGGTGTTAGTCTCCTCAGTGAGGATTCAGAAGCTTGTTTTATTAGCCATTTAGTCTCCATCAGAATCAGCGTTAAAGGCGTATTTATTACTGTTAACTAAACATTTTATTATTAAAAACAGGAGAAAGTGGCATTTACTGAACAGTGGACGTCATATTGTGCTTTAAAAATCATAGCCAGGGAGTGATATCTAAAGGCTGAGCACAGCCACACTCCCCCCTACAATTTCACAGCATTACTCTTTTTGTTTGAAAGACTGAAGCACGAGAAAAGAACGAAAGAAATGTTAAAAGCGATGTTAAGTTATGGCAAACAACATTAACACACAGAGAAATAGGTGTTAAATAGGTGGAATTTGGAGACCTCCGTAGAGCAAATGTGTCATTACATGCAACATACAAAAGAACATTTCGTGACATGGGTTGTGCCAAAGCCGTTTTAAGGGGAGCCTGGCCTCTTCCTATTTCCCTCGTTATATCAAAAACAGGATTGCCTGTGAGCAGGTACTCAATGAATGGGGGTGAAAAGAGCTAAAAAAGGCTAAAAATGAAAACTTAAAATAGTTTCTAATCACTTGCCCTGTACTTTCTCTTGATTTTGGAAAGCAGAAGGATGTACATCACTGAAAAAGCAAAGCAAAATTCGCCAATATATTTATTTTTTTCCTGCAGCAGTCAGCTTTTGAGCAGCAGGATGCTAATATTATTGCTAATGAGTGCTTATTGGTTGGCGAGCGGAGCAGCTCATTGGCTGTTCGTGCTCACTGACATCATAAAACGAATGAGGTGCCGTTTTAAACTCCTATAACTCAAGTTAAAAAGCTCTCAAAAATATAACAGTGGTCTTAAAATGTTTTATGCTGCTCTGTTCGCTGCTATCAGAACAAAACCTCATGTCTCCATTTTTGTTGTTTTTCAGTTTTTGACATAATTTGAAAGTACATTGTCCTATACATTGTTTGTACATTTCATGGTGAATGGACCAACAGAAATGACCCAAAATTTCTTGGAAAAAAGTCTGGTCACTGACTTACATTAAAAGTAGAGTATGTTTTTTCCTTCACGTATGTGTATTTATATATCTACCAACATCTTTACCATCCCCTGGATACCATAGCAACAACCTAGCAACACCTTAACACCCACCTGGGATAACATGGCAACTCCTTGGGACCTAAACAGCAAGCTTGACTTTCTTTTTGAGCCTGTGTGTGTAACAGTAATATGTAAAGACTTTTTAGATGATCCAGAAAACTCCTGCGAAATCCGACACCTCTGACTTTGAAATGATTATTTCAGGCTTTACAGCAGCCGCAGCAGTTCATGCACACATTTTAGCCTGTTTTTTTTTCTCCTGACTACGTGATGCTACGTCTTCTACTTTTAACAAAAAAATCGTACATAATGTTTGTGTTTGTCTGTAGTTTTAACTGTTGAATGGTATCGAGTTAAATAAGCTGAGCGTCCTCAGTCACTCGTTTAGCTGCTGAGAGTCGGAGACAGAGAGAGATAAAAGGCAAGCTAATTGGTTTAGCTTATTCCTATAATATGAACAGCTTTAAATCTATACAAATTTAGTATGAAACACTGAAACACCTTGTGGAGTCCACAGTGAGGTTTATGTTGGCCTGTTTGAATATTGTGATGAAATTGAACTTGAACCACTGGGATAATAATGTGATATAAACTTGGTTTTCCATTCATTAAACCAGCTAAACTGGCACTGAAAACACATCGCTAAGTAAAAACCTCTGTAGCATCACTGCTATGTGGGCAAGTAAGCAAAACACCAGTCATCTCATGTGATATAACGTTACAGCACATCTGTCACTCATAGTATGTTTATAAGAACCTGTGCGGCTATTATTACAAATAAAAACTGCAATATTTTGATTGAAAAACATACCTTAAATTATGATTAACTATCAGATGTAAATATTATTGTTTTAAAGGACAGCACTGAGAACGAGCCTGTAAAATGCTGTTTGGACCAATATTAGTTCTGTATCTCACCTGGCTCTGCGCTGGTGCGTTGTAAGCCTGCTTATTCTTTATTGATTGTGCTGATCCTTTATTGACCCTCAGGGCTATCAGATCTCTCTGAAGAGCACCAACGGCCCCATCGACGTCTTCCTGTGTCCAGAGGACAGCTCTGGGGTTTGTAGCCCTGTAACAGATTGTAGTCCTGCCAAATCATCCAGTCACAGCCCTCCTCAGACTACCTCGACCGCACCGGAAGCAGCATCAACTCCATCGACTCTTCCAAGTGCCTCGCCGCTTCCTCTGGGTAACGAGTCAGGTGAGTAGATCACAGCGACATAATCTGCCTTCGCAAAAAGATCTTAAACAACTGTGAGTTTAATTTTTCACTTCAGGCTACGTTTACATTATAAGCTTTATGGCTCAGTTCCAGGTGTTTGTATTTGTGTTTGTAAGTGACCCGTGTCATTAGTGTGACTGAGAGGATCTGCGTGAGCGCATTTTATTGTTAAGTTCAGCCGCTGCCCACCCTGGATGATGACCATGTGCACATGCACAGTGAAGCATTAAGAAGGGAGTCAAAATAGTGACGATTTCAGAACTAAACCTCCTGTCAAAATGACAACTTTACAGGAGACGGATGTTCTTAACTCTCTCATCATGAGTCTATTTATTTATTTATTCATTTATTTATTTTTTGTGATTCATTTTTATTACTTTCCATTTAAAGAAAAGCCAAACAACCCCCCCATTTCAACCCTGACCCACAGCCACAGGGGACGTATCCATATAAACCGTTCATGCATACAACTTAAGACACTGAGTTACACCATTCACAACCTAAACACATCAACAGTTAAGTGAGCACAAGGATCTAAACTTTAGGACATCTGTGAATCCATGTATGAGGAGTTCTAGGGGCTGCCTTGCTGGTTTTTATGGACGATAGTTCCAGATAGGAGAAATTGTTCATCATTAAATTTCAAATTTTCAAATTATGCAAATAAGTCAAAAAAAAAAGACAAAAGTGGGGATACAAGGTTTTTGTGTGACAGCAAGGATATAAATATATGTATATATCTCTAATGTTTTTTGTGTATTTTTTTTTAGTTTTCTACGTCATTTGAGTTCATCAGCTACCTTTTACATGAAAACTTCAGTGAGTGACCCATAGAAATGCTCCAAAGTGCTTAGAATAAAAACTCACATTAAAAGCAAAGAATGTTTTGTCATTTTGGAGGTTTTTTGAACAGCGACGATAAACAACAGTAGCCAAGATGTTTGCCAATCCGATTGAATACATTCCGGTTCTAGATTAAGACTGAGGTGTTTATCTGCTCACTCTACTCAACAATCTGATAGAAAATCGAGCATCATGTGAGTCCCAGTCAGAGTGAGATGAGCAGCAGTGAGCAGTGCTTGTGTTTTTAACTACTTTAAAATGATGTCAGACTCAGAAAAACATCCTTCACATGTCCTTATTAAAGAAGGCCGAGAGGAAGACGTCGTGTTCTGAGACACATAAGCTGGACGTCCGTCCCACCGCCGTCTTTTAAAGATCAGAGCATAAACTTCGTCTCCTCTGCAGACCAGATTTCTGCTCCGCCGTGCTGAACGATCTAAACTTTCACTATGACGTGACAAACATGATCAGAACGGACTTAAACTTTCCGTTTGGGAATGTAAGCAGATACAGTTATTATTCTTCTATTTAACGGATTATTTACAGGATTACCCACCTCGTTCAATCGGATAGAAACTGTATTCTGAATGGCCTCAATCGGACTAGTCTATTCTGACTGAGGTGTATAGATGGACGTATTCTATTCTGATTGAGCTGTTAGTCAGATTTTTAACAGGTTATTAGGCTGCATGTAAACGTTGCTAGTCCCTCATATCCATCATACTATGTCAGTGAGCTTTCCTGAGTATATCATGGGTATCATCAGTATTTCTAGAACACTGAGCCACTGAACGTAGAGTGAGTCGTCCTCATTAACTAGATTCAGTGCAGAGTGTGAAACCCAATGTGACGCTGTCCTTTTTACTTGTTTGCCTAACAGAGTCAGAAACAAAAATAGCCTGTATTGTGAAAATGTCTTGACAGAATCTTGATTTCATATTTTTGCCAATATATCTGTGTTAGTCAACCAAAAAAACTACCATAACCTCAAAGGACACTCTCTGGTTCTTTCACATTCACACACACTAACTCTTCTTCTTCTTCTCTGACTTTCCCTCAGAGTCGTTCCTGGACACGTTTTCTGGCATTTGCGAGATGCCTGATTTCGATCTCTCCGCGCTCGGCTCGTCGGACTTCCTGCTGGAGCGCCCTGTTTCCGGCGGCGCGGTTGGCGACGCTTTCGGCCTGCCGATAGACAGCTTCATCAGCTTATCTCCGCCCCACAGCCCTGACTACCACTTCGGGCTAGAGGAGCACGAGGGCATCAGCGAACTGTTTGACTGCGACTTCACTGACCTTGGCCCGCTGGAATTCTGAGAGAAGGAGTGAGAAGGGCAGAGAGAGAGAGAGAGATGGTGCAGATGAACTGTGGTTTTGTCGTGCGCTGGAGTGCAATGGGCTCTCTTTACTTTAGCACTTGCATTGTTGCTGATGCTTCAGGCGCTCTATACCATTAGGCCTGCACCATATAGATGAGGTTCCGTATTGCGATTATATCGCAGTTATGATGGAACATTTAGGCCTGAGCAAAAGGATTTACACTTGTTTTATCACATGAATACTTACCATTCATCAGTATACACACAGTAAATCATAGGGTGGAATGATTTATCCTTTTTATATCAAAATCGCAATTTGAAAGTGCAATTTTCAAAATTGCAAGAGCTGCAATTAAAAAATGACGTCTTACATTATTCAGAGTTGTCAGCAAGTTTTCAGTGGTTTGGCCTTAACAATGGGAAAATGAATGCACTGGTCTTCTTGGGTAAAAAGGCTTGGAGCTTAACTTAAAAATAAAAATAGGCGCATTTAAATTGCCGTTGCAGGATTAATCAAAAACATTGAAATTAGATATTTTCCCTAAAATGTCCAGCCCTAATAACTTGCCTGGCACTGTAATTGGTCAGGATACTCACATCACACAGTAACCAACGCTGCAGTTGGTTAGAGAGCTTATCTGTGTACTGCAGCCTTCTGCACCGTCAATATTGCGATTGCTTTTAACAGGTTCTATATCATGCAGCCTTGTTTACAAACCACGCACAATGCCTCTCTCTCAGTGAAGTAAAACAAGTGTGGTGGCTTTAACGCACTTGCTGCATCATGTTAAAAGGGCTACAGCTCAGCGCTGCCTTAGACACATTTTACCAGCACTTGGGTCGTCTTAAAGCTCCGGTTTCTTTAGAAGCTTTAGATGGCCGCTTAATTTATTTATAGAATCCTATAATCTCTTTTTTTCTCTCTTTTTAAATTGTTTGTTTGAATTTTAACGTGTAAAGTTGAGGGTTTTTGTGCTACGTTGTATATTTGAATCGTAACTGACGAGGTCTGGTGGGACGAGGTCGCGCGCTCAGGAGAATAGAGAATACAGAGTAGACCAGTTGAACGTTCAGGAATTCAGGAAGGTTGTTTGTGTTTAGATCTGCGTTCGTATATGTACAGCATGTCTGTAGGGTGCCTTGGTTGGCTGGCAAGTTTAGCGGATGTTTTTCAATGGTCACAGTCACATTTGTCCATGTCCAGTGTTCACTGAGGGAATGTGTGGTTGTTTTTTCTTTTTTTCTTTTGTTTTTTCTTTTTTTTCTTTACCTTTTTTTTTTGTTTAAGTTTTAAACATCAATCTTTCAGGCTATAAAATCTCATTCTCTACGTCTGATTTCCGAATTGCCGTCATAATTATGGTTCTGTCTTGGTTTTTAGAAATGACAGACATGTTGGTTCTGGGTTTTGTGGTTTTTGGTTTGTCTGCGTTTTTCGTTTTACTGCCAACGTGCTGTCAAAGTTAGCGGTCTACTAATATATTGCACCATACAAAACTGATGTGGGTGGTCATAACCCCCCCCCACTTTAATCTCTTACAAATACAGTTTTGAATTATAATTCAAAACTTTGTTTGTTTTGTACAGTCTTGGAAAAAAAAATATTTTATTATTGCTTTATATTTATTGGATTGTTTTTGTTTGTTTTTGGGTACCGCAGTTGTTTAGACAGTGTAGTACTTTTTTCAGAACAGAAATGTTATTTTTCCTAGTTTCTTTTCACAAGCTGAATAGATTAAACTATAATTATATGTGCTAGATCTTATATATCTCCTCTACGCGAACTAATCGTACCTCCAGCTTCTCTGAAGGCTGCATGTCGTTGTAGAAAGCTACTATTCTTCTGGTTTATATACACAAATGGATTTTAGGTTTCCAATAACCAGCAACTCCTGTTGTTTCATGCTTTCAGTGAACAGATCAAGGGTCATTTTTACAAAATCAAACATTTTCAGCGTCCAGTTCCAAAACAAAACACTGGCTTTAAAAAGGAAAATACACTTGTAACCAGTTTTAATGTTTCACGGCTGGTTTCACAGACGTGGATTAAGCACCGTCTTGGACTAAACTGCATTGCAAATGGGGAATCGCCATTGAAAGTTCTAGGATTAGGCTTAACCTGGGTCTGTGAGGCTAGCCCTTAGTCTCCAGCTCTTGTAGTCTCGTATAGTATGTTGTGCAGTAGAGATTCTGAGCTATGTTAGAATTTGTGATAAGCTATTTACTTTGTACATGAGTTTGAAGCGACCGTATGCGAGGGTCCCACCTGTATGTAAATTAGTCTGGGCTCTGAATCCCTGAATTGTTCTTTTGGAAGGCAGCTTATGAACAGTTGTGTGCAAAAGTTTGGGCGCCCCTGGTCAAACGACATGCTTTGTTGAGGTGAAAATAAGTGAACACACCTAAAAATGACACGTTTCTGCAAATTGTAGTGCATAGTGTCTGTTTGCTTTAGCATATCGGTCACGTTTTACCTTTTATTTTTTCACAATATGTTCAATCAGCAGACAAACAGTTAAGTTGTGTATGAAAATGTGCAGACGTGTGTTCTCCGTGGAGAACGTGTTCACTTAGATTCAGAAAACCAGCAAAACATACAACAGTAATTTGGCCGGAGGCGCCCAAACTTTTGCTTACAACTGTATGGATTTGTGTGCGTGTGCTTGAGTGAGTGACTGTGTTGGATTAATATAGCTGTACTATAGACATGGACAATGTTAAATTTGCAAATTTGCTAAGTGGAAAAAATTGGGGTTTGTATGTGTGAAGCTGTATGGAATTTTTTTTTCTTTTTTTTTTTTTTTTTTTTGGAGGTTTTGCTGGTTAAACGGATCTGATCTGTTGGGGAATTTTACCGTGTTGGGCTGGATGAAAGGGGCTGAATTTTCAAAATTTCTGTGTGAATTCAGTTGTTACATCATTCAGAGTGGTTTGATGAGAAATGGTTCATTGTAGAGAAACTTACTGACTCAGATTTCTTCACAGTGGTGCTGATAGGAACCAGGGGATGCAATGCCTACAACACAAAGATAGCCATTTTATTTACCATCCAAAATGACCAGTGAACCTACACACGTCTTCTGAGTTTTATATATCGTCATTGTTGAAACAAAACAGTGTTATCTTTAATATCTTTAATATCTAGATATCTAGATTTAATATCTAAGTAATTTTCGAACTTTTAGATCCATTTATCGTGACATTTTAACACAATGCAAAGGGTAACTGGGGGTTTCCAATTAGGAAAAGAAGAAAAATGCAAGATAAAAATTGAAAAATAAAAATAATTTATTAATTTATACTTTATTATTAGTTTTTGTGCAACAACGTTATAGTGGAAAATTTTAAAAAATATGGGTTTTTTATGGAACTAATTTTTTCTTTCAATGCCCTGCGTGTGCTTCAGCTATGAATTGCTTAAAAAATACATTTTACTCCAAAAATCTATCTCAGAATTATCATAAATAATGTCTCAGACGTCAGGCAGTGCATTCATAACCATTTCAAGTTATAACTTTCTGTGAGGGAAGTTTTAGAGGCATTAAACACTTCAGATGTTTGGTTCCTTTCACCACCACTGTGAACAGTTCTGACTCAGTAAGTTGCTCTAGAACAGAACATTTCACACCAAACCACTCCGAATAACTTTATTTACATTATATTTACATTACAACCATTTTATTATGCAGAGATTTTGTGAAATCAGTGGAGTCCCCCTTTACGTTTCGGGATTATTCCGTCTTCTCATTGGTTGATTTCAGTTTGCTGCATGTGTTGTTGAATGAATGTTCATTGATCATGAAATTACAGCCTTAAATCTAATGTTTCACTCAGAACTCAATAATAATAGGCTAGAGGTTTGAATCAATATTCAGCATTCACATTAATGATCTGCTGACCTGTGTTGTGGCTAAACCAAATGCCTTTTTTCTATACAAATTACAGCTTGGAGAAACCCAAGCATCAATCATTTGTATCATTTTTTTTCACTGCCTGTCAGAAAACAAGTCATAGATAATGTTTCTGTTTTAAAACAATACAAATAAATCAGTTGTCTCCCCCCATTGGTTGGTTCTGTAATATTTCGCACATGGACGGTGACGCGGTGTGAAAAGTTAGGTGAACATGTTTTAAATTAAATTAGAGGTGGGCATTATGACGACCATCATACGTTACACCACAGTTTTGTGCGTAAAAGAGCTCTGATTAACAGCCTTTCATGATGTGTGAACTGCTCTGTGTCTCATTCATAAAGCTTTCTGCTAGGACGTGGAAAAAAGTGGAGATTTTTAGCAAATGATGAATCAGCTTCAGTGCATGAAATCAAGTGCCAGCCTACCAGCACCTCATTTACATATCATTTACATGAAGCCCAGCCTAATTAATGCATTCAGTTGGGAGCCAATAAAACAACAGCATTAAATAATGATAATAATGAGATCCTGTCTCGTAAGTATGACTTAGTATCTCAATTTTGACTTAGTATCTCATGATTTACTTTCTCATAATTATGACTTACTATTTCATAATAATGAGATCCTGTCGTAATTATGATTTAGTATCTCAATTTTGACTTAGTATCTCATGATTCCTCACAATTATGACATACTATTTTATAATAATGAGATACTGTCTCATAATTATGACTTGGTGTCTCATAATTATGACATATCTCATAATAAAGTCATAATAAGTAAGTCATGATTATGACTTACTTTCTCATAATTATATGAGAAAAAAATAATAATGACTTAGTATCTCAATAATGAAATCCTGTCTCATGACTTAGTATCTCACAATTATGACTTAGTATCTCATAATTATGACTTACTATCTCATAAAAATGTGATCTTGTCTCATAATCATGACTCAGAATCTCATAATTATGACTTGATGTCTCATAGTAATGAGATCCAGTGTAGATAATTATGACTTAGCTTCTCATGCATCCATCATCTAAACCGCTTATCCTTCTGGGTCGCGGTGGGGTGCTGGAGCCTATCCCAGCTGTCATTGGGCGGAAGGCAGGATCCACCCTGGACAGGTCGCCAGTCCATCACAGGGCAGACAGACAGACATACACATTCACACCTAGGGGCAATTCAGCATGTCCAATCAGCCTGACTGCATGTTTTTGGACTGTGGGAGGAAACCAGAGTACCCGGAGGAAACCCACACAGACACAGGGAGAACATGCAAACTCCACACAGAAAGGACCCTGGTCGCCCGGCCGGGAATCAAACCCAGGCCCTTCTTGCTGTGAAGCGACAGCGCTACCCACTGCGCCACCGTGCCGCCAGCTTCTCATAATTATGGTTTATTTTCTCAGACACTGTCAAAATCGTATGACGAGAGGACCAATAGAAATGCCTTAAAATGACTTAAAATTCAAACTTAAACTGAAAGTTAAGCGTATTTCATTACAGAGACAGACAGTTCTGTTATACTGGATTGAATGCAGAGTATTATGTGAAACAGTTTTCCATCATACAATAAGTTCCAGTTTAACTAAGCATAAAGTTTAATGACTGTAAAAGGAATATGAGTAAATGTATAATCCAGATTAAACCACACTGCTCTTTACCTGCCGTACATTCAGCATACAGTGTTCACAGACTGTCCCTCAGACCTGATCCTGCTGGTTCCAAACACTATCAGTAGAAGCCAGCGTGCCCTTGTTTTATCACCTTTCACTTCTGTTATGAGCAGTTTATTCCTTTAATGCTAGTCGATCATGTACGTTTCACATTTTGCCCATTTTAGTCGTATAAACAAGGCTGAAGCTAAAAAATAACAGCATTCCTGTCTGAGGGCAGTGAGCTGTTCTGTCTTTGAGCAGAACTGAAGCGTGTCTGTCAGAGCGGCAGGGTTACGGAACGCAACGTTACATTCCCAAGGCTTTTCACTCCCTTTTTCGCTCTCATTTCTCTATCACTTTCTCTTTTCTTTTTTTCTTTGTTCTTTCTCTCTGTTTTTCTTTCCCTATTTCCTTCTGTCTCTCAAATTCTTTCTGTTTTTCTCTTCTTTCTCCCTCTTCTCTCTTTCTATCTCTATTTTTCTTTACCTCTTTCTCTTTCTATATCTTGTTCACTCCCTCCCTCTCTCTGTTTTTGTCTCTATTTTCTCTCATTCAGTGTTGAACTCAGTGTTTGTTATTTACATACCATTGCATTACTCATACAGCTGATCAAGTAATCCTCTCTCTCTCTCTCTCTTTCTCTTTCCCTCTCTCTCCTCTCTCTCTCTCTCTCTCTCTCTCTCTCAAAAAGGGAACAAGAAAAATTTAGAACAGAGTATAAGAACTCTGAATTCTCTCTCTCTGTCTCTCTCTCTCTTTATCTCTCTCTCTCTTTATCTCTCTCTCTGTCTCTCAGTCTCTCTCTGTCTCTCTCTCTCTCTCTCTCTGTCTTTCTCTCTCTGTCTTTCTCTCTCTCTCTCTCTCTCTCTCTTTCTCTCTTTCTCTCTCCTCCCACACACATTCTCCGCCTTATTGTGTTGTCATTTGCGCTAGTACTGTTAGGACTATATATATATATATGAAAGAGAGGGAGAGATAGAGAAAGAGCGAGACAGAGAGAGAGAGAGAGCAGAGGGATATACAGAGAGATATAGAGAGACAGGAGACAGAGACGGAGAGAGGAAGAATCAGAAAGAGAAAGAGAATCGGGAGAAAAAGAGAGAGAGAGTGAGAGAGCGAGACCGAGAGACAGAGAGTGGACACTGTGTTGAGGGATTGTTTTTTTGGGTCCGTGCTGAGCTCCTCATGCAGACTCCACAGACAGCAGGTGAACCCCTTTTTTCTCTTTTCTTTTCTCCTCTGTCCATCCTTCACTTTCTTCTCTCTTCAGATTATCCAAACTAAATCTAACAGTCTGATTGGTACTGATGACCTCATGACCTCTGTTATATCTGAGTTTATTGACTGAAATGTGCACGATTTCCACGTGAACAAACTCAGTTACACCAACACACTGACTCTTGCAGTTTACTTACGTTTGGCCATAACTGTGCTGATGCAGTTTATGACTGTGGAAACGTGTGACTGGAGTAAATACGGTGCTCTGCTCTGTTCAGAGCTGCAGCTCTGTGTTTGAATGAGTCGTGTTTGGAGGAAGGCGGTGTGTTACTCCGCTCCTTTAGCATTCATGCATGCCGCGGCACTGATCTGACTGGATCTTCTCACTTCCACAGAAACAGCTTATGTCTTTATGACATTATGTCTTTATGTCTTTGTGAATGGGCCGGGCTTTGTTGAGGCCGGCGTGGCCACTTCCATTTTTCTTACTGTAAGGTTTGTCTCAGTTTTAGCTGTGGGTGTTGGACATTCCAGAGAAAAAATGTTTCTTATTAAAGGTAATACAGCTGTGCAGGTTAAACAGGTTCAGCTTTGATTTTAGCCTCTGTGGGTTACTTATCAGTGTGTGCAGTTAACCTCACTCTGCTGTACGGAGGAGGATCTCATTGTATTCAGGCTCTCGTGATCCTACTGACGAGTTGAATTTTCACTACTGCAGCCTGATTGGTTAGTTGACCCACCCATGATCCATTTAGCTAACTGAGGTTTCCCCCAGCACTGATTGGCTAGTGTAACTTTCCCACCTGTGCTCTGATTGCCTAGATGAATATTCAGAGATATAATTTGATTGGCTGTTTGAATATTCCCTCCTGTGATCTGATTGGATAGTTAAACTTATATCCTGAGCTCTGTTTGGCTAGTTGAATTTCTATCCCTGCACTCTGGGAAGCTGAATTTTTCCTGTTGCGATCAGATTGGCTAGTTGGTTTTATTTGCAGCAGCAGTCAAATTGCCAAATAAAGTTATTAGTCATGCCATGTGACTGGCAAATTGTGTTTTTTCTCCTGTGCTTTGACTGACTATTTAAATTTTCAATACAGCTATCTGATTGGCTAGTTACATTTTCAGTACAGCTATCGGATTGGCTAGTTACATTTTCAGCATAGCTATCTGATTGGCTGTAACTAATGGTGTTATCCATTATGCTATCCTACTGCTACAATAAGGCAACCAATGTTGGAAGTATATGTTGTTTATAAATATGTACCTCACTGTGCATTGACATGTTTTGGTTAGGACCACTAAAAGTTCAGAAACGCCACTGAGTAGTGGTGTTCATGGACAATTATGGACAATAATTTAAAAAAAAGTCATTTTTAAAATGTTTTTTTCTGGGATGATAAAACTGAGTGAAGAGTTGGTTTACTAAGTCATTTGAAATGCCATTTCTAAATTTACTGACATAGTTTGTACTAATAAGTAGTACAGCTTACAGAAAACTTCACTTTGGTCATCTCATATGAGCTCTGGCAAACAGTTGTCGGCAACACTTTATTTGATTGTCCACGGTAAATGCTTTATAAATACTCAGTCTGTCTTTAATTAACATTCAACTAAGTATCTATTAAATGCAACTGATCCTGAGCGCGAAAGATTCTATTAAAACAAATCCTGACAGCAAGAAGGGCCTGGGTTCGATTCCCCGGCTGGGTAACCAGGGTCCTTTCTGTGTGGAGTTTGCATGTTCTTCCCCGTGTCTCTGTGGTTTTCCTCCCACAGTCCAAAGACATGCAGTCAGACGCATTGGAGATGCTAATTTGCCCCAGGTGTGAATGTAGATGTCTCTGTGTCCGCCCTATGATGGACTGGCGACCTGTCCAGGATGTTTCCACCCAATGAACCCTGGGATCCCCTGCCTCCCAGGAGGATAAGTGGCTTAGATAATGTGTGTGTGTGTGTGTAAACCTAACCCTAACTCCATCACAACAACGTTGCTGATAATCACCAGATAGTTTGTGAATAATAATTAAGTATCCTGTGTTGATCATCTATAGGGGACCATCCATCCAAATAAAGCTTGACCCCATTATCATAAACCACAGTAGTATGATTAGTCGGTCCAGTTGTCAGCAGTCAGCCATGCTTTCTCTTCGCAGGTGTGGGACTGAACCATGTGAAGCTAGAGGTGAAGGAGAATCACATGGCCCATCACACCGTCGGCCTCAGCGGCACTCACCTGGTCACCCGCAGGGGCCAGCCTTTCAAACTCCTGCTCCACTTCAATGAGCCGGGCTTCAGCCATCACTACGAGGCGCTTGCCTTCCAGGTTCTGTTAGGTAGGGGGCACCAGGGTGGTTCGACCAGCCTCAGTAGAGCTTACATCCAACTGTAACTGGCTGTTCATATGTTACTGAACCCAAGATCTAGACTTAATTTTTATATTCCTCAATCCGTAACACCTCTCGATAAAGAGAGCACGTCCACTCAGACAGGGCAGCCTGAAACTGTGTTGGAATGAAAGTGTTGTTTCTTCTGGAAATGAATAACTCAAGTGAAAGTAAAAGGGCCTATTTATAAGATTTGTGTGCTTTTGTGTTCTCAAAGCTGTTTTCCAGCCTCTCTTTGTTCCTTAGAATTAGACGGCTGTTTATGTTACTGTGCCTTTAAGACTGCGAGATGTAAATGAGTTCTGTTCTGATTGGCCGCTTCATTGAAAAGATTGAAACACTCCTTATAACTTCAGTGTGAATGAGCGGGGCTAGACTGCTGTAGACTGAACAGGGGGATATATGTAAATGTGCTTGTGTTCATGACATCACACACTGTTGTTATTGTTGTTATTGTTTGGATGCACCTGTGGCTTAAATAAAATAAAGAGTCAGAGCTGTGACCGATCACAAAGCAGTAAAGATACTGTTACCAGATGCATAGCCAATGGGGTGGCCAGGTGAGATCCAGTGATTTTATTAGGGTGGCAAACTGCCAGGGGAAAAAAGTGTCAGGTAACATTATGACAGAAGAATATTTGGCTATAGTATTCACAGGAACTGAATTCACATCTGATGAAATCTAGCCAGCATCATTAAACATGTGCTCAGCTGTAAAGAGTATTTAGCTTCATGATAAACGATAGACGTTACTGTACGATAGTAAATGTTATTAGTTATTCATTTTTGATGGTTACTTCGATTTGGCTCATATAGCCTGTTTCATATAATAGCTCATATAGCAGCACTGCTGAAGTGTAGTGGGCTGAACTACACTGATATAGAGACGTGTTTAGGTGCTATTAAATGTTTTGCTAATATAACAGGCCAGTGTTGCTGCTTCCTCAAGCAAAATGAACAAGACTAATGTTAACAACAACAGATGTTCAGAGGAATCACACTATAACATTCAGCCATATCTTATCACAAACAGGTGACCTGGCCGTGGAGTTCCCGGTTACGTTTTTAGAGAACATGACCAATGTGGGATGGAGAGCCTGGATTTATCCTCATGAGGTGCTTCCCAGGTGAATCATCAAAAAAACCAGACTGTACTGTTTACAAAATGTTTGTGGTGGCTTATGGCCATAATATGTAACTACACCCCCCCCTGTAGTTCCACTCACTGGCCACTTTAGTAGAAACACCCACCTTGTATGTCCACTAACTGGTCACTTTATTAGAAACACCTCCCTTGTTTTTCCACTCACCGGCCACTTTATTGGAAACACCCCCATGTACTTCCACTCACTGGTCAATTTATTGGAAACACCCCCCATGTACTTCCACTCACTGGCCACTTTATTAGAAGCACCTGTCTTGTATGTCCACCACTGGCCACTTTATTAGAAACACCTATTTTGTATGCCCACCACTGGCCACTTTGTTGGACACAACCCCCCTTGTACTTCCACTTACTAATCACTTTATTTGAGACCCCCCCCCTCCCCCCCAGCTTCCACTCACTGGCCAATTTATAGGAACTTGTACTTCCACTCACTGGCCACGTTATGAGAAACACCTCCCTTGTATTTCCACTCTCTGGCCACTTTATTGGAAACACCTCTTATAAACTGCTCTGTAATGCTCCTGACTGCTCATCCATGCTGGTCAGCAGGTGTGTGTCAGTGCCTGTACGAGTGTGTTCTCCTGTCTCTGCTTCTGTGGGACTCTATGAACTGAATTTGATCGTCCAGAACAGCCTCGGCCAGCGATGTTACAGCGCCGGCCGCTTCATCCTGCTCTGTAACCCGTGGCTGAAAGGTAGGGATGTATTAAAGAATTTTACCATGTTGGGCTTTGTGGTTATGGAATAAGCTATAGAGCTGAAAGTGAAATGCTGAAATGATGTAGCACTGTTTGATCCACTCTACAATTCCCAGTTCAGCATAATTTCAGTGCTGAGCTGGACTAAGAGTGCTGGAGAACATGCTGTTGGCTTTTAAGGCTTTAGTCTGAGAAGCCAGGTTTCATATTGGAACATTTCTTACAGTAGAGTTGTTCTACTATGTTACTGGAAATTTGCTCTTATACAGGGTATATTAAATATTAAATTTACACAATTTTCCCCTTAACCCAATGAGTTTTTCAGACCATGTCATACGTTTTTACGTATTAACGTCACACAAACAGACTCAAAAAGAAGGTCCGGCTCGATGTTTAGGTCTCAAATGCAAAATCAACATTATACTGATGAAGATATGATGACAGTAGTAGATCATTCACTCACATCCTCAGAAGACACATCACCAAGTTCTCTTTGAATTCTCTTTCAACACAGCATCAGATTCATCTGCTCAGGTAAGGGGTGTAAAAAAACAACCCACATTACAAAATGTTCTACCGTATGTTGGGTGCAATTACACATTTTCACCAGAGAGGTCTCCAAATCCCCAAAACTTACATAGTAAAGCTGTAAAAAAGGTATGTTTTAGACGAAAACCTTCTGAAAACTATCGTCAAACAATGCCTCAGACATTAAGCAGTGTATTTGTGACCATTTCAAGCAATTACTTTCTGTGAGGGAGATTTCAGACACATTAAACTCTTCAGACGTCTGGTTCCTATCACCACCACTGTGAACAATTCTGACCCTTAAGCCTTTCTGCCTGGAGCATCATTTCACATCAAACCACTACAGTTGATTTTTTGGCCTCAATGTCTCAATCATGTGGAAATTTTGAAAGATCAGTGGAATTTCCCTTTGAGTAATCTCACATAGTCTTGTTTATGTGGTTTCCGAGACTGTTTGATGTACCGTTGTCTATAAAAACAGATAAACGTTCAGACAGAGTTCAGGCCTCAGTGTAGATGGCTATTCTTTGTGATTTTGTCTGGTTTTTTAGATAACATTGTGTCACACAGAAACCACATCACTGCTGGACTCATCTGACTGGCCTGTCTGTGTTTCTGCTAGCGGACCCTGTGTATCTCCCTGATGAGGGGCAGAGGGAGGAGTATGTGAGGAACGACGCTGGCGTTCTTTATCTTGGCACACCTCACAACATCACAACATGGCACTGGGCCTTCGGTCAGGTACCAAGAACAAACTCTTCAGATAACACTCCACGTTACGCTTTGTTTTTCTGCCAAATATCTCTGTTCGTGTTGGTCAGATACTGTTTGACCTTTGCTCTCTTATCCATTTTCCTTTGTCTTTCTCTTTGTCTCGTATTCTTTTGTCTTGCTTTCTCTCTTCTCCTGTCTCCTGCAGTATGAGAGTGAGGTTCTGGAGGCGTGTGTGAACCTGTTGCAGGTCAGTCCGCAGCATGTGTGGGACAGAAGGAGAGACTACCTGCGCCGCTCGGACCCCGTTTACATCAGCAGAGTGAGCTGTGCCATGGTGAGTCCTGAAGCTGCTGAAGAGTGAACGGCCAGTTTGTCACCACAGAGTTCACTACAAATGAAAAAAGCGTTATGTGTAATGCAAGAGTGAGAATCGTCCACCACCCAAATCATATCTGGTCAGCAGCAGTGCTGTGGTCAGAAACTCACCAATGATGGGGGCTGATCAATTATGCATCATCTGTGCATCAACAGATGGGCTAGTCTGTACCTGTACAACTACAGAGCAGAGATATGAGGGAGGTGTTTCCAATAAAATGGCCAGTGAGTGGATGTACAAGGGGAGATGTTTGTAATAAAGTGGCCAGTGAGTGGACATACAAGCAGGTGTTTCTAATAAGGTGGCCAGTGAATAGAAGTACAAGGAAGGTGTTTCTAATGGCCAGTGAGTGGAAGTACAAGCGGGGGTGTTTCTAATAAAGTGGCCAGTGAACGGTAATACAAGGCAGTGTTTGTAATAAAATGGCCAGTGAGTGGAAGTACAATGGGGGGAGTGTTTCTAATAAAGTGGCCAGTGAAGGGTAATACAAGGGAGTGTTTGTAATAAAGTGGCCAGTGATTGGACGTACAGAGAGGATGTTTCTAATAAAATGGCCAGTGAGTGGAAGTGCAAGGGAGGTGTTTCTAATAAAGTGGCCAGTGAGTGGAAGAACAAGGGGGGTGTTTCTAATAAAGTGGCCAGTGAACGGTAATACAAGGGAGTGTTTGTAATAAAGTGGCCAGTGATTGGATGTACAGAGAGGATGTTTCTAATAAAGTGGCCAGTGAGAGGAAGTGCAAGATGGGTGTTTCTGAAAAACTGGCCAGTCAGTGTACCGTAAATTCAGAATTAATTTTTCTGAACAATTATTCATTTATAATGTTCTTCTTGTTGCAGATAAACTGTGGGGATGACCGAAGTGTTCTGGAAGGAAGCTGGTCAGCTGATCCCCAGGCGTTGGGTAACGGTGTTGACCCTGCAGACTGGACAGGAAGTGCAAAAATCCTGAAGCTCTGGGCTGCTACGCATTTCAGACCAGTGTGCTATGGCCAGTGCTGGGTTTTCGCCTCCGTCATGTGCACAGGTAATGGAAAACTCAGCATTAGTGGCATCGTACCTGTTACAGAGTAGGTGGAACGCTGCTTCATATAGTATAATGTACACATCATTCTCTGTACTTTCACACTGGAAAAGCATTTATTAGACTCATCTAATGCTAGAAGTTTACCTGGAGTTTTTGCTATTTACCACATTATTTTCCACCATTTAGAATAATAGTGACGCCATCAAAACTCCAAAACAATATACACCACTGTGCAAAAGTAACCACCCTTCATTTATTTTATTTTTACAGCCATCAAGTGTTGGTTTATTCATTTTTAAACATCAGGAGAAAATTAGAAAACACATTTAAAAGAAAATGACACAGAAACTAAACATAGTCTAATTTTTCTGAGTCCACTCTTCACCTTTATTAGAGCTTCTATTCTTTTTGGGAGACTCGCTTTCAGGTTTTCAAAGAAATCAGGGATATTTTACAAAGTTTAGTCTTAGAAGTTGGTTGCATTTTCTGCTTCTCACAATCCAACTAATCCTAAACACATTCAGTGATGTTGAGGTCTGGACTCTGGGGTGGTCAGTCTATTGTTCTGAGAACACCAGCAGTTTCAATCAGGAGTGTCCAAATTTTCGGCTCATACTCTTAAAGCCTGGCAGTAAATAACACTGAAACTCAAGAACGACGGTGATTAGCAGTTTACTCAAGGGGGGTGTTTCTAATAAAGTGGCCATTGAGTGGACATTATACAAGGGGGTGTTTCTAATAAAGTGGCCAATGAGTGGACATACAAGGGAGGTGTTTCTTGTAAAGTGGCCAGTAAATGGACGTACAATATTTACTCAACATTTATACCTTTTACTCTTTTCCTATTCAGTGATGAGAGCTCTGGGGATCCCTTGTCGAGTTGTCACCATCTTTAACTCAGCCCACAACACTAAGGGCAACCTGATCATGGAGGAGTATTACACAGACAGCGGGCAGAAACTGGACCTGTCTCAGAGCACAGTATGGTAGGCCTAAAGAGACACTCTCAGATACGTCCCGCAGGAAACACAGGCATTACAATGGATCTCTGTAGGAGCAGATTTAACATTGAATAAGTTCTTTTAAAGCTTTGGAGAGTTATGGTGAGGGCATATTATGTATGTAGACAATATATCTAATATTTCTCATTAAGAAATTGGTTCTATGAGCGTTAAAGATCATTCAACTTACAGTACTGAGCAAAAGAGACCACCCTTCATTTATTTAATTTTTAGTCAGAATGGTCACTAAGTACATTATTCATTTTTCAGCATCAGGAAAAAGGCAGAACATATATTCAACAGACAATTACACAGAATCTTCTATAACTAAATATAATCTCACAGTTTTCAATATTTAGTGTGTCCAGTCTTTACCTTTACCTTCCATTCTCTTCAGGAGACTCGCTTTCAGCTTCCCAAAGCAATCTGCAGATATTCTTCCATACCTCCAAAGTTCAGTCTTAGAAGTTGGTTTAATTTTCTGTTTCTCCTGATCCAAGCAATCCCAAAAACATTGAGTGATGTTGAGGTCTGGACTTTGGGGTGGTCAGTCCTGTTCTGAGAACACCAGCAGCACATTTTTCTTTTTCACCATGAACTATCTTCTCACAGTGGAAGGATGGACAGATACAGCTGTGAATGTTTTTCAGATCTGAAGCAAGAGTGGGCACTGTTTAGAAGTGCTGTTTATCTGATGGGGTCAGTTTTGGTGGTCTACCAGGTGGTCCAGGTGGTTGTTAAGAGTCCCATTGTCCTTATATGTTCCCTTTCCTAATATAAGTGCTCCTCAGAAACATATCCTGACCAATGAATGACTTGTACTTAATGGCCATTTTGACTGGAAATTAAATAAATGTAGGGGGTCTCTGACTTTTGCACAGTAAAAAATTTTAGACATTTTAGTTTAGTAATTTTATCCAATGTATCATATTTCACTGGGAGGTAATTCTGCTTGTTTTGAGAAATAAAACTTAAAGTAAGTGTAATTATTTGACAGTTCAGTGTATGGAATGGAACCAAAGCCATTTCTAGATGGGCTGCTTTAGATTTCTGGATATTTTCCCTCCAAACAGGAATTTCCATGTGTGGGTGGAGTGCTGGATGACCCGTCCTGACCTGGGCAGTGAGTTTGATGGGTGGCAGGTGCTGGACCCAACTCCACAGGAGAGGAGAGCAGGTGAGAACCTGGGGAACATTATTCATTCAAACACCTCACAGGACTCAAAGCAAGTATAACAGCTTTTAAAGGAATTCCTTGACATTAAAATGCAGTGTGGACACTGAATAAGGTGTTTTCTGGCCTCGTTTGTGTCATATAGCTGTTTTTTTACACATTTTACAGAGTTATTCAGAGTGGTTTGATGTTAAATAGTGTGTTGTACAGAAACTTGCTGACTCTGTGCAGTGGTGCTGATAGGAACCAGGGGTCTCCATGTCTACAATGCAAATATAGACATTTTATTTACTATCTAAAAACCACCAGTGAACCTACACATGTCCTACAGGTGTTTATATGTAGGGATGATGATGATGATGATAAACTAGTGGAAAATCTGAAAAATTATTTTGCCTTACAGAGCCCTGCATGTATTAAAATATAGTTTTTAAACTAAACACAAAACTATCGTAAAACAATGTTTCAGGCATCAACCAACATATTCATAACAATTTCATATAATAACTTACTGTGAAGGACCTTTTAGAGCCGTTAAATGCCTCAGATATCTGGTTCCCATCATCACCACTGTGAACAGTTCTGACTCTGAAAGGTTCTCTAGATATGAGTAACCATTGGATACACTAAATGTAAGTAGATATATACAGAGATCTCTTTTCATACTGTAGCACCTGAATATTACATAGCACACTTACATGGTCCTGTTCATTATCATCTGCTCTTTCAACTGTAAGTTTATTGTTCAGTAACTACGATATCTTACGCAGACTAATGTTTAAGTCATTATGTGTCTCTAAAGGGTTATAAATTTGAATATTCCTCAGGCATGTTCTGCTGTGGGCCGTGTTCTGTTAAAGCCGTCCGGATGCGGAACGTGAACCTGCTGTATGACACCCCATTCATCTTCGCCTCTGTGAACGCTGACGTGATCACGGTGGTGGTGCGGGACGGCCGAGTGGTCAGCAGGAGAGTGGACAGGAAGAGAGTGGGCTCTCACATCTATACCAAACATATCGGATCTGACCGGCCACAGAGTCTGACCTGCAACTACAAGTGTGTCTTAGGTATGAACATGACATGCAGGGGTGCCATCACTTTAATGAGGAGCAACCTTTAAAACAGTCAGTGTTTCTAGGAGCTTCCTGAAATGGATTTCCATTGGTTGGGCAGCTGAATACATACATAAGATCAACATGCGTCGGCTGACCTGGTGTGAAGCACACTGCCACTGTACTGTGGAGCAGTGGAAACGTGTTCTCTGGAGTGATAAATCATTTTGATGATAAAATTTACTGTAATTTCATGGCAGTAAAGTCACCAATAAAGTACTGTATCATTATTGTAAATATTTTATGGTATTTTACTGTATATCAAATTTCCAGTTATATACTGTCAATTTATAGTACTTAACGGAAAACTGTGCCACCAGTAAATTACTGTTGCATTGTCTGGTATGTTACTGTAAACCAGTGCACAATGACTAATCTTTTACGGTATAATTCTGTAAAATAAAGAACTAGTATTTTACTGTAAAAGAAATACTGTAAATTTATATACATTTTTAACATTGTGTGGTTTCAGTAGATAAAACCTAAAAACTGAGAAGTCTAGAATATGGGGTGTAACATAAAAAGTTGTGTTAAACATCTTAGCCTACTACAGAGCAATTAAAGCTAGTAAACTAGTAAAAAGTTAAGAAAACAACTGCAATGCACTTTATAATGTGTCACATTCTTCTCGTTTTCTGTATTTGCCCAGATAACCTGTCTCGCTATGGAGAACCTGGACATGGTATGGTTTCTTTTCTCCTATACCAACCCTCACAGTTCAACTACAGCTCTGTATATCGTGTTTAATGCACAACACAGTCCACATAAGCAAAAACCTCAACATATCAACAATGCTAAAATGAGCCCATGTGGATTCTGTAAACTGTGACTGCTGTGTCTTTTCTCTCTGTGTCTTTAGACATATCTCAGAGTCTGCAGGTGTCCTTGCGGCTGGACCGAGTTCCTGTGATGGGGGAGGACATCGCCCTGACCGTTACAGTGAGAAACACCGGTCACAGTCTGAGAATATTCAGGGAGCATGTCAACGCCCAGGCCAAAGTGTACAACAGAGGTGCGCAGCAAACACTGTGGGAGACGCACAACCGACTGCACGTCCAGCCTGGAGAGGGTGAGGACACCAGCTCTAGAACTACAACATAGGAACATTTTGCTGGATTCATACTGATGCAAAGTAAAAGAATCAGAGCTCTTCTCATGTATTGCATTATGTATATTTAGAGTTCAGTGGCAAATAGTAACCTAGGCCTACATGTCGGGCCATAAATGTCAAAAAAACCTTTACGATAATGCTAATTTCTACTAGCTCCCATATGGGTTTTGCAATAGTATGTTAGCACTAAGCTAACGCTTATGAACATTAACGTTTTCTGGCTGTTCTAGACTAAACACAGACATTAAAAGCTTGTAAAAGACATTCTATATGTATTATCTGAAGCTGGCATTAACATATTTTTAACATTGACAGTAGCAGTTTCACAGTGACTCTTTCAGTAAAGAGCCCTAACATAGAGCTGCTGCGGCTGTTTTACATTTCTGACATCTGACTGAAACCTGTTTGACTATGGCTCATATTCACATATTCAGTGATGTATGGAGAACCTCCTGAAGGCCTGGAGTGACATTTTGTCTCACAAAACTGGTCCCATACATTGTAAATCAAAATGTTATTGATAGATTACACTCTCGGTCCCTAACTATGTAAGCCTTCAGTTCAGTCTCTGAGGTCCTAACCAATGGGAGATCGCACTTGGCTGTATCTACCTAGATAACACAATGAAAAGCAATTCAAATTGGACAATTTTCGGTTGGGTTTTTTAACATCTTAACCTTTTTGATATCAACCAAAAACAATGAAATAAGAGTATTACTATGATACTAGCAAAGTTGTGATACAGCACGAGTGATCAATCTTTTTAATAGAAGTGACTAATTATTGCAGACAGTTTTAGTTCCCAAAAATCAAGCCTTCTCACTGACTGTTTACATACTACTGCATTAGACTGAATGAGTCACCAATTAGGGAATTACGATTAAGTGACCCCTGATAGTCCCACAACAGGGAAGCTTCACCTCTGCATTTTATCCCATCTGTGCAGTGAAACACCACATACACACTACTGAACGCACACACTAGGGGGCAGTGAGCACACTTGCCCGGAGTGGTGGGCAGCCCTATCTGCAGCGCCCAGGGAGCAGTTGAGGGTTAGGTGCCTTGCTTAAGGGCACTTCAGTCATGTACTGTCGGCTTAGGGGATCGAACCTTGAATGAACCATGAATGAAAATAGCAATATGAGTTATAGGACTATAGCTACATTTCCATCGATGTTCTACACAAATTCAATTGCTAGCAGTAAAATTAAAAGAAAAAAGATTTTTTTATGGTTATTTCCATCAACCTTTAAGTAATAATGTCACTTTTGCAAAATACTGTTAGTTTAGCACTAAAAATTCCTATTTCACCATTTCAGCTTGTGTACTTTTGGCTTCTCTGACCTCCTCTCAACCTACCGATAAGGAAATTGTGTTTATTCTATTATTTATTTATGTATTTTTCCATCTGAACCGATGTGTGAGAGCTCACACTTCTCTGCCGTATAAAGCTGTGTGAGCACCTTCATTTTAAAATGGCTGTAATCTTTTCTGGACATCTCTACCTGTGTATTAAGTGTCTCTAATAACTGTTTAGTTACATATTAACAACACATGCAACAACAGTGTAACTACTGGTTGTTGCATTGTTGTTAATGTGTAACTACACAGTTATTAAGGCAATATAAAAGTTTTCTACAAAAAAGCTGCTGTTTTTTGCCCGTTCTGTGTGTCTGTATGCAGTGCTGCTAATTGAGCATGTGATCCCGCACGGTCAGTATGAGAGCAAACTGACCAGTGACTGCCTGATTAACTTGGCCGCTGTCGTGGAGGACGAGAGGACACAAGAACACATGCTGGTGTCCGAGGAGTTCAACATCAGCATCCCCAACATCTCCATACAGGTGATCACACTGGACTCTGCTTAATTAAAGTCATTTGGAGTGGTTTGTTGTGACGTACCGTCTCAGATTTCTGTGTCGTATCGCCTCAAAGTTATGTGTTCATTTACTGTCTAAAACCACCAGTGAACCTACACAAGTTTTTATATGTAATAATGTAATATATGTAATACATATATACAGTCTGTGTTGGGAAAATTTGAAAAAATACATTTTCTTTCAGGATTATTTTGCCTCACAACGCCCTTCATGTACCCCTCCACCGTGACTATATTTAGAAAAATACATTTTAGATCAAAGAGTTATCTCAGAAGTATCATGCAAAGAATCTGTAACCGTCGTGTGTAAGGATTTTTCTATGATAGGGCTTTTAAAGCCATTCAACTCTTCAGACATCTGGTTCCTATCATCACCACTGTGAACAATTCTGACTCAGTAAGTGTCCCTAGAATGGAGAATTTCACACCAAACCACTTTGAATGACTTTGTTTACCTCTTAATCACCTATTTATGTAGAAACATGGATGGAATTCCACTTCAAGACTTTGTTTAGGGTGATTTTGGGCTTGGACATGAGAAGATACAGATGTTTTCTTTCTGTAGGTCACAGGTGGAGATACAGTGGTACTGCATAAGGAACACAGTGCTGAGGTCAGCTTCACTAACATCTTTAGCACCGCCATGAATGACACCGTACTGACCGTGGAGGGCACTTCTTTGATACAGGGCAAGCACCAATCACGGTAAGGAGACAAACTAGACTAGAACATAATGCGGGCTGATACACTGATAAGTGCAGCATTCTTCAAAACACATCGTTGCCTTACAACTACTGTCAACAACTGAGACATCTGATTAGCCTCTGCATACACAGTACCAGACAAGATAAACACACCTGATTAAACTCTGAACTTTCACAGTATTGTATGTCTTTCATAATCTCTGACATTTTCATCTGAAGACTTGTACTTAAATGTTTGAAATTTAAGACAGTGATGAAAAAGTGAGTTGGTGCAGTAATAGTGACAAAAATAGTGAATTGCAGCCGATGGAAATAAAGTTCAGCAGCCTTATTAATTCATTTAGTCGCTTTTTGTACACTTTCAAAAGCTATTTGTTCATCTAATGTTTACATCTGTGTTGGATTGTCCCTAATGTTTGATCCGCTTCAGGCTTGGTGGTCTGACGGCACTCAAAGTCCTCTGGGCACTGGCCGCACTGGCCTGGTCAGTAGTCCACCCCCGACAGCTAACCCCTTCAGTCATTTGCAGTCATTTACAGGCTAGTTTAAATTGCTGTTGAGTTGCAGGCTGAACTGAACAAACATAACATTACTAACCGATGATAGAGGTTTTAAATTTACACTTCTTTTTTTGGAACAGTTGAGGATGATAATGTTTTTGGTTTCATCTTTGGTTCTTAGCAGAACACTGCTCGTTCATGGTTTTATTGTGAAAAACTCTTCTGTGAGTAGATGTATCCAAACTTTTGACTGGAACTCTACATACGTTAGCTCATTCAGGTGTGTACAGGACCTGAGAGAAGCCAGGGCTTATCATGGATTACTGTGTGGAATGCAGTTTTGGCACGTTGTAGAACACTGTTGAACACTTCCATCTCCCAATATGTCCATCATGAACTTCACACCCTCGCACTGTATCAGATCATCAGGCGTTCCGTTCATCTGGCCTTGTGCTTCTATTGTCTGGACTTGTTTGGCTGGACTATCTTTCGGGCATCTGCTCTTTTTGAAACAGAGCTTTTAATTACACAACCCTTCACACTTGGCTATTATAACTGATTCTAGGTCAACAGAAGTCCAAATGAGCATCAGTAACCAGCAGACACAGCTGCTAATCACAGATTGCTAAGCTAAAAGAGAGCAGGACTGTCTGTCAGGTCTGAGTGCACAAATAATGAACTGACAAAAGAACAGTTGGGCAAATCAACTTGAAATACCCCCCCCACACACACTTTTACCCTGAATGTAGTCCATCAAACATGTTTGGTGTCTGACGTTTCCTTTTTGACTTCAGTATTGGAGCTACAAAGCTAATGTAGCTAGTAATGGAAGCTAATTCCAAACTGATTAGCATTGTGCTAACTAAATCACCTCAGACTTGCCTCAAACTGTGTCAAACTGTTAAGTAATCTCTAACAGACTCGGTCAGGTGGTTTCTGACACTGTATGACATACTGTTATATAGCAACAATGGACAAAATTCACAGTGTCAGGCTTCAAGGTGGCTGCTATGCTATGTTTTTAGCTATGGAACTACACTGCATTGCTAAGAACAGAAGTATCAGCTGCCTATAAGTAAGAATTTTGTCCTTCGATTTGTATTTTTGTAAAGTGTGTGATGATTTTGAGTTTGTATGATGCTAATTGACGACTATAAGCTTCTGTTACTTGTTAGTTACACTAGCCTGGTAGCTCCAGTGCAAAACTGAAGGAGCAGACTTCAAACACCAAATGTGTCTTGGCTACATTTGAGGTAAAGGAGAAACTGTGAAAATGAGAGGTTTTTTTTTTGCTGAAGAGACACAATGATAAGAGTGGACAGTGCTAAAACAAAATTTCAGAATAATCCAAAGGTTTTGATGTAAATAAAGTCATTCAGTGGTTTGTTGTGAAACTTACAGAACTGTTAGTGATGGGAACCAGATGTCTGACAAGTTCAATGCCTCTAAAAGCTACATTAGAGAAAGTTATTAGATAAACCGGTTATGAATACGCTATCTGATGCATGTTTTATTATAATTGTGTGATGGTTTTGGTTTAAAATCCATGTACGGTCAAGAGTTACAAGCAAGGTGCTGTAATTCAAAATACATATAAAAACTCAGAACCATTAACTGCTCATTTTGGATAGTAAATAAAATGGCCGTACTTGCCTTATAGACATGTTGACCCCTGGTTCCTGTCACCACCACTGTAAAGAAATCTGAGTCTGCAAGTTTCTCTGCCTTGAAATACATGAGCCCGAACCACTCTATAAGACTGTTTACATCCCGACCACTGAATCATGCCAAAATTTTGGTGAAATTCCCATTTCAAGGCTTTTATAGTATATCTTTTTCTTTTGTTGAATTTGTATTATTATTATTATTATAACACTGCTTTTCATTGTAATGCCAGAAGAGACGTAACAATCAAAAGAATTTCATAAGAATATCATATTCATACCTTGTACTGCATACAGAGTAATGCTTCTATCTGCTCTCTCTGTAGGCTGTATCTGTTACAGCCGGGCCAGGTGATGAAGACAAAGGTGACCTTCATACCTGTCGGCCTCGGCGTGAAGGTGCTGCATGCTAAGCTGACATTCAGAAACCTTCCAGCCCTCGTCATCAGAGGAACCCATAAAGTCTCAGTCACACCGGCCTAACTCCTCAGCACACCTTTTCAGAGGGAAATGCTGTTAAAACTATTGTGTAAAATGTGTAAAAATGATCCAACAGTGAGAAATATGGATTGATGTTTTGATGATATGGCTTATAATATCAGGCCTACAGGGACTACAGTTGACAATTAGCCAGCTAGCCAACGCTGGCACATTGGCCCAATCCAGTTTCTTATTTTTACCCATTGTTGAGTGTCACATATGACAGTTATCTATTATCACCCACCCCAATTCTTTGGTAATATGAAGCTGAATTTTCCTGTTCCACCCTAAATGGAGCAGCAGTTCTGATGCCTGAGGTGTCAGAACGTAACTGCTAAAAGGTTTATGGTGGAACAGTAAATTTAGCTAGCTAGCTACCAAAACATCAGCAAACTACTAGTGATTTTTATGTTTTTTTATGATGGAAAAGGACCATAATACACTGAAACAACATTAAACTAAGACAATACAATGGTTATCATAATTCTTTATGAAAAAATTCTCACATTTGTGGGTTTCTTTGGTCATTTGTGCAGCTGTCTTGCCGGTTTTTCCGTTTGGAGTGGGTTGGGTTCTTTGTCATTGATGTTGTATGAAATCCTTGCAACCACACTTTGTTTTTTTATAATTTTTTTTTTTTTTTGCAGCATTTGACACCAGCTGCCCTTTACACTGTATAAACAGGTCATGATGAATGGACCAATAGAAATGATCTAAAATTACTTGACTTAAAATCTCTTTACATTAAAGCACATTACAGTTGAGAAGGTTTCTATCTTCTCCTGTTGTTGCCAGTTTAAAGACATGAGGTTTTGTTATGACTGATGCTGTGAAGAGCAGTGTTGGATATGAATTCATGATATTTGAGATATTTTGAAGACATAGTCGTCTACAGTGCTGTCAAACAATCGCCAATAATAACTCTGGGCAGATTTATCAGTCGTCATATTCTTCTATTTTAACTGCGCATTCAGAAAGGACTGCCTTGATTTCATTTGTGGTCTAAAAGCAAACTGGTGTGTTTCTGAAGTTTCTCAACTGGTGCTAGAAAATAGTAGCTTACTTGTTCTTCTCACAGTGGACAGACGGACAGAAACACCTGTGGATGTTTTCAGATCTGAAGCAGCTTGATTTTCTCCTCTCTCTCAAAGATGAAAGCTTTAAGTGCTGTTTATCAGATGATGGTCTACCAGGTGTTTCAGGTGGTTGTTAGGATTCACATTTTCTGTGTATTTTAATCATTTTGTCCTCAGAAATATCTCTTGAAAATGAATAATTTGTACTTGACTAGGTGTTTAATAAATGAAGGATGGTTTCTGACACAGTACTCTATGTTACTCTGAACTCTGTTTCATTTTAATCCTTAAAGAATACATACAAGAAACTTGCTATACATAAAGACTGATTGCTTTTTAAATCAATACAGCCATAACAATTTATGTAAAAATACCAGATGTTTAAAATATCACAAGTGGCCAGCGTAGGGTTCTCCTTTAGCAGCTGTAGCCAGTCAGCAGCCTGTCCATGTTGTCTACCCTCACACAAATGCACACACATATACAAACACATACACACATAGACACACAGACACACACACACTAACAGCAGGCCATGTAGGAGGAGAACAGAGTGAAGGACACAGCACCTCCACACTTTTACTCCCTGTGGGTTCACCAAACACCACATGTGTAATATAATGTGTAGGGGATGAACAGTGTGAAGTCAATCAAAAAAGGAGTCATTTTCTATGTTCTTCACAGAGAATGAGCAAAGGCCAAGAAATCTGGGGTTGAAATAATAATAAATCGCATCATTTTCTCTTTTGGTAAACATTGAAAATGAGTCCCACAGACCTGAACACCACACAAGGGTTAAGAGACACACAGCTTTCGCACAAGTTGTGGTGCTTTATTGTCCAGCTGTTGTTGGCCTCAGCCATTCCGTACATAAACCACAAGTTTTGTCTAACAGTTTGCTCACTACTCAGCTCATGTCTCACTCTATCAGCCATCAGCTCTTTACTGACTCTCAGTTCTTCCTGCTCTAGCACATATCCCCCCATGATATCGCAACTAGCCACACCTTCACAATAAGAGTCCTTAGTAGAATAATCCCATGAATAAATGCTGCAGAATTAAAGAACTAACATGTCAAAACATACACAGAAGAACTGTTTTCAAGTATGAATGGATATTTTAAAAAACTTTGTGCACACAGTAGAGACATTAGAAAGTAGGATTGCTGTTTCTAGCCCCAAATACTATATACATGATTACCCTGCTGAAAAAAACCATAGAAACCATTCAAAGATTCCGTTAGTTTCTGGCGGTGTCCAGTAGTCTGTAATGGTATTTTTGTGCTTTCTTGATGGCTTGATATGAAAGTGTAAAGGACTCTAATGGTTTAACAAATTCCAGATGTATCTGATGATTTCCTAATGGGATCTAAAGGTGTCCTACGTGAAACTAGTGGTCTCTAATGAAAGCATTAGAAAGCAAATGCATCAGGTTTTAATCTTCATGGCCCTGATGTTTTTTTTTATCATTCAAATTAAATAGTTTCAAATGATATGAAACTTATTATATGTGTCGAAGGTCCTCTGCTGTTTCTGATGATGCTGGAAATGTCTGCTCTCACCACAGGAGGGCAGTATTGATGCACGTGTGAATTACAGCTGCGCTGCTTCATCATTCTTTGAAGTCATTCCAAGGATATTTTCATAGTGTCAAACTATTTTTTTTTTGCTTTTACTGTACATTAACCTTAATGCTGCCTGTTTCCCGCCCCATTTAAACTGGAATGTATTCTAAATCACCTCTGTGTTATTCAGCCGCGGGCTGCATGTTCATCATCCTGAAGGCTGCAGGGCCGATAAATCATTTTCAGCACTGTAACCTGCTTTAAACAATAATAAAATGGCAAATATTTATATATTTGTTTGTTTTATTGTATGTTTTGGGGACTGACAGTTTCATCTGCCTATTGTATTTGGAATGAAAAATGATTTAGGTAATTTTGATGAATGCGGTTTGCTAACTGGAGAATGCATGTGTGTGTGAGAGAGGGAGCAGGAGAGATAGAAGGAGAACGAGCAGATTCTGCTGGCCTGCAGGAGAAAGGAATATTAAGTAAATCCATGTATTCATTAATGATAGATTAGCTTAGCTGGAAGAAACTGATCATTCGTCGGGCCTCGTGCTGGCCAAGGATGATCTGGCTCAGAGATTTGGATCAATCTTGTGAGTGATATTGAATCCAAAGCTGACTGCAGAACTATAGTCAAGATTCAACTGCATTATTAAAGGGAAATTCCACCCATTTTCAAGAATTTCTGCATAATTCAGTCTGTAAGATGTAAATAAAGTCGGTCAGAGTGGTTTGGTGTGAAATGCTCGGTTCTAGAGAAACTACTGAGTCAGAATTGTTCACGGTGGTGGTGATGGGAACCAGACGTCTGAAGAGTTTAATGGCTCTAAAAGCTCCTTCACATAAAGTTATTACAGAAAATAGTTATGAAGGCACTGCATGTCTGAGACACTGTTTCATGGTAGTTTTGAGAGAAGGATTTGGCCTAAAATGTGTTTTTAAATATCTTTTCATGGCGAAGGGGTACCTGCAGAGTGTTGTGAGGCGCAGTAGTTCCCAAAGAAAGCATTTTTTTTTAAACGTAGCACTATTTTACCATCAACATTACATACAAAAACTCGTGTGGGTTCACTGGTGGTTTTGGATAGTAAATAATATTTGTGTTGTAGACATTGTGACCGCTGGTTCCTATCACCACCACTGTAAAGAAATCAGTCAGTTAGTTTCTCTACAATGAGCCATTTTAAACCAAACCACTCTGAATGACAGACTCAACCACTGACTTATGAATGGACCAAAAGAAATGGCCCAAAATACCTTGGAAAAATATCTGGTTCCGTTGACTTACATTAAAAGTAAAGCATGTTTTTTTCCTTCTCCGGTAGAGTTACCATTTTGGAGATACAAGGTTTGCTTCCAACAACAGCGATATACTGGTTTTGCTGGTGATCAGCTATACCCGTCTATGCTGGCATTTCTAGCAGGGTGGTGATGGTGGAAGCTATGCTAGTACGAGGCACATCCTCACACGGGCACGAGCGATAATCAGACTGCACACTCTCTGATTTTCAGACAAATTAAATGTCAGGAGGAACGGGAGCGCTGGAGCGCCTTGAAGAGCACAGACTATCATAAATTATTAACGGCTCCTCTCCTCCCTGCAACCATCTCTGAAAGAACCGTCACGCCGACATTCGCTGAGTGAAGGGCGAAGCTTTCTCAACTTCACACAAGAGTTAAGATGAGCCTCACCCGTTTTTCCCTCAGTTCTCTGCTGAAATGTTTTCTACAAGCTAAAAACCACATTAGCATCAAGATCCACAGCCCTGTGCACATCTGACAACAGGTGTGAACATGCCTGCTTAAGTAAGAGTGCTGCTAATGTACTGAGAGCTTGATTAAATACCAGTAAAACTATTAAGGTACAGCATTTCAACAAGTAAATAAGTGATTGAAAACTACTCTGTGAACTGCTTTGAGCTTCTATTAGTCTTACAATAAGAAAAACTGTCCACTGCTGAAGGTTTCACTGGGTTTAATTGCTACATAAGCTAATCCTTCCGCCTAATTACCTCGGATGTTCTCTTACATTAGTTAAATTAGCTAACAAGCACTCACAATAGAACATATAAGCAGCTTTAGGTGTAGCCCAATACAGAACTGCCATATGCTACTTGTTACAACCCCATTTCCAAAAAGTTGGGACGCTGTGCAGAATGTAAATGAAAACGGAATGCAATGATATGCAAACCATGTGAACCATATTTTTAAAGGAAAATAGTACAAACACAACATAACAAATGTTGAAACTGAAAAATGTAATTGTTTTTTGAGAAATATATGCCCATTTTGAATTTAATGTCAACAACTCATTCCAAAAAAGTGAGGAGGGGGGCATGTTTACCACTGTGTTTCAT